TGTGTTATTTTAACTGCGTTTGGTATTACCTTCGAATCTCTGCGCCTTTTGAGGAACGCCAATGAAGATATCAATTTCATCCGCTTAATGCGGAGCTTCTCCAATTTTCTGGTTTTATATAGAGCTGCTGCTCTATATAAGAACGGGAGACACAGCAGAGCCTCACCATTCTGGCGAATTGCCCGATGATGCTGGATGCAATTACTAGCAAAACGTCGTACTCAAATTGTAAATGTTGTGGCTTCAACACACCGGTGGGCTAAAGCAGTGAACTATTTGTCTTTTGTCAAGGTGACACTTTTTTACTGTTTGGCCGTGTCGGGTGGTGGAGGGTTACGACACATTTATAAATAACGCGATCTAAACCCAAAAACGTTTATAGGTAAGATGTTATTATGTTACGTTTTGCCAGGTAAGAGCTCGCGAGACCAAGATAGCCTCAGGCCCCACTTAAAAGAAACCTCAACCACAGAAATTTAGACTGAGTGCATCACTTAAGGACACAGAGGTCCTGAAACTTCATTCTGAGAATGAGCGGGATTGTGAACACAGCTGCTCCTCTCTGCAACCTCGTCTCCTTCTGCTGCCTTGTAGGAGGAGTACAGTAGAATTAACTTGTGTGTACAGTACAATATACTAACATATGTTATTTAATACATTAGTCTTTTTATTTATGAAATAACATTTGCCATCTGTCTTATTATTATTAGCACTTTCACCGATACTTCAATGAAGCCCTCGAATATAGCTCATTAGACAGAAATAACGCTGTTCAGAAATGTATCCCCATATGCACAATGGTTTAATTACTTCTTTTAGCTCCGATTTCATAAGCGCTCACTTCTCCAGGAATGCATCTTGAGCACTTGGCGAGGTCTGCCTGCAGTGGAGCTGATCTGCCCACTGACCATTGGCTTGTCACTTGTAAGATGCGCCCGCCACTACGGTGGTGGGCTTCCAGTTAGGATTTCATCATTGCTTTTCGCTGGGGTTGGCATCGTCCCCCACTCCTCCTGCTGATGCCGAGGACAAATGTGTGAGGTTTAGGACTTTTATTAATGCAGCTGAAATGGCTGCTTTTGGTACAGTTCAAACCGCGCTAGAGACACTGGCTGACAGAGATGTTTCAGCTGGTTGAGAAAAAGTTACAGAATCACACTCATTGTCAACAACATTCCACGTCCAAAAATGCAGCCTTCGCTTGGAACTTCATAGAGTCACGCGGCGCTGCAAGGATGAGGGGTGGTTGCGGGTTGGTGAGGAAAAGGAAACTGCCTCGGTTTCTCACGATCACCGATCACTGTTTAATTCCATAAAAAATGTAGCATGCAGTGGCACACCTATCACCATCCTCAAGGGAAAGAACAGTAATCTGATCTCTAAACCCCAGAAACAGGTCTGCAGGTTTACAGAGAACTAGCTGTACTACCCGGCTTCGCCCGGGACTTGTATCCACCACGGCCGGCCGCCTTTGTCTCCCCAGTGGCGATGTTAATACGCCACAGCAGTTACTCATTTGAGGCAGAGTCGACCTAGGGGAGGTTCAAATAATGGTCACCGGTGGTGGCCGTGAGCGGGAATCGAACTGGGTTCGCCGGGTTGGTAGCGCAGCGTAGCGTTAAGCACTACACCCACCGATCCTCAAACACCACACACGCACAGACACACACACAGACACACACACAGACACACGCAGACACACACAGACAGACACACACAGACACACAGACAGCACTCTAAGCACTACACTACCGCTCCCCACACACCACACACGCACACACACAGACACACACACAGACACACACACAGACACACACACACAGACACACACACACAGACACAGGCAGCACGCTAAGCACTACACTACCGTTCCCCCTACACAACACACGCGCGCGCATCCATAGGTACACATACACGCGCTTGCTGCAGACACACACGACTTTCAGGGTGCGTACGGCAGTAAACGACTGAAATAATAAAGCGGCAATGCTGCGCAAGGAACGCCTTAGACCTGCAACACATTTGTGTAATGCGAGCGTAAACACACAAACACATACAAACACATACACAATACACACACACATACATGCAGACACACAGACAGACACATAACACACATACATACACACACATACATACACAGAAACACATACACACACATACATACACACATACATACAGACACACAGACATACACATAAACACATACACACATAGACATGACCCGGCTTCGCCCGGGACTTGGATCCACGATGCCCGGCCGCCTTTGTCTCCCCAGTGACGATGTTCACACACGACAGCAGTTACGCGTTTGAGGCTGAGTCGACCTAGGGGAGGCCCAGGTCCGTTTAAAATAATCGTCAGCGGTGGTGGGCGTGAGTTGGAATCGAACTGGGGGCGCTCAACCAGCTTAATGACTATTTGTACAAAGAACATATAAAGAATCGATTATAATAAGCAGGCAACAGTCCACATTATAGACTGCCAGTACACGCACTCAGCTTCATAAGCAGGCTAGAGTGTACATGATAGAGTGGCAGTACGCTCACCGAGCTTAATAAGCAGGCTACAGTCTACATGATAGACTGGCAGTACGCTGACCCAGCTTAATGACTATTTGTACAGTGAACATTTAAGTAATCGATTGTTGACGCGTTGGGTTTAAAAGTAATATTAATTGCACACATTGTGGTGGGGGTGGAGTGAAGAGTACGAAAAACTTTGATGAATTTACCTCAGAGTGGCGTGGTGGGTGTCGAGGCCTAGTAGCGGGCAGAGCCTGCGGCCTCGCCAAAATTGGGCACCCGGCAGAGGCAGGGTACGGGTGGCGTTCCTTCCCCCCCCCCCCTCAGCGCTCCAACAATACTGTGTAATGGCTATTATTTAATTAATTACGGAGCCTATGAAAGTGGCGAAGGCGTGGCTAGCCATTGGCAGGGGCAACCGCCGTCCAATGAAAGTGCAGCCCTTGGCGAAGGCGTCGCTAGCCGTTGCCAGGTCCAATGAAAGCGGCGAAGGCGTCGCTAGCCGTTGGCAGGGGCAACCGGCGTCCAATGAAAGTGCGTATGGTCCGGACACACAGACACACAGACAGACAGATAGACAGACAGATTCGCGATTTTATATATATAGATTTTTGTGAGGCCTTGGGGGAGGGAAAACCCCTCAACTAATATAGCATCTTAGGGCAAGGTGGGGACAGATCTGCTGGGACTGCAGTGCCTCAAATATTGGAAGAAGCAGCTACCCAATGTGAGTCACTGTCTGGGGTGCCATCTGTTGAGGAAGTACACAGATCGATCTAGGAAAGCACCAGGCAAACTGCAAAGGGAGGGTGGTGTTTCTCTGCAAAGTACCCTTAATTACAACTGTCTGGAACACAGGACGGGTGGCACAGGATCGGGAGGATGCTCTGGTGGTCCAGCTCTTTAAACAGGGGGACCGTACAGATTGTAACAACGACCGGGGCATCTCCCTCCTCAGTGTGCCGAGAAAGGTTCTGGCAGAGATTATTCAAATCACCCCCTTGCCAGGAACGCTGAGGAGAGGCTTGCTGATCCCCAATTTGATTTCAGGCCAGGGTGGTTTTGCACGGCCGCCATATTCTCCATCTGTCTGCTACAGCAGAGGTGTAAGGAATTTCAATAGGCATGTGATGCGATGAATAAAGCAGGGCTGTGGGTTTTCGTCATACTTCCGGGGTCCCTGACTTTATTCACAATCATTAAGGACCATCATGATGGTGGGCAGGCTCGGGTAAACATGCATGGTCAGGAGTCAGAGCCATGCCCTGTTCACCTTGAGGTGTGACAGGGATGTCCTCTGGTTCCTACATTATTTTACATCTTTTTCAATCATGTCCGTCGAGAGATGGCTCCTATTGGTCAACCATGTTATAAATGCTGATCTCGTAATTGCTGCTCACTCTGAGAAGGTGTTGGAGGCTTTCCTGCTCAACCTGGACCATGCCACTAAGAGGTGTGGTGGCTTATCATTAGCCCCATCAAAACTAAGCACTTTTCTAGGTTTAACCAGGCTGTATTGTGTGAGGGGAGCTTACAAATCCTTGAAAGATTTGGACACAGTCTCATCAGTAAGCTTCTCCGGCAGGGGAGGCTGCATTGGGCTAAGTCACATAGCCCACATGCCCAGCCGCTGCATCTCTAAGCAGCTTCTGTTTGGCTGGATAGAGCACTCTAAACGGGCACGGCACGGGTAGAGAAGAGATGGGCTGATGTGGTACAGAAGGGGATGTGGAGCTGTGTGGACTTGCCGATTACTGGTACCAGCGGTGTGACAAGATCAGCCTCTGTGGAGGAGGAGGCTCGTGCAGGATGCTACTGGGCATTTGGAGGCGGTCGCTCTCCAGCAACAGCGGAGGAATGAGGAGCAATGCTCATAACAGCGAGCAGAGCGCTGGGTGCCTAAAATGCAGCAAATTGGCACAGTAGGGGGCACAGGTGGTGCATCTGCCAGTCATGGCACCTGGGTCTGTCCCATGACCTGCCGGCGAGTGTTGGACACTTCACGTGGCCTCAAACTGCATATCGCATGGCACAAGTGCCGTGGTGACATCGCCACTTAGTGGTGAATACCGGCTTTTGTTGTGTCTGTGTACATGTACACATGTATATGTGTGTACGTTTGCATGGTGTGTGCATGCATGTGTGTAAAATTATGTGTGTGTGCGTCGGGTAGCGGTTAGCACGCTATGCTACAAACCCAACGACTCGAGTTCGATTCCCGCTCATGACCAACATCACTGGTGATTATCTGAACCCTGATCGACTCAGCTGGAAATGAGTACCTGGTACAGTGTGTAAACTTCACCTACCAGGGAGACAAAGGCAGCTGGGCATGGTGTTGGCCATCCACCCCCTCGTGTGCCATGCCGGCCTTCATAGGTGCCCACTAACAGCACTTGCCCCAACAGTCTGTTAAGGCTACATGGGGGATTTTTATCTTTGTGTGCGTACATATGTGTGTCTGTGCATTTCCAGGCATTCGTACGATCTTTGCGGGCTCCAGCTGTAACGACGTCGTGTGCTCGGAGCAGTGCGTCATCAGCGGCCACTACGACAAGAAGATCCGCTTCTGGGACACACGGTGAGGAGCGGGAAGTGGTGCCGCGAGAGGCTGGCATGGCGCCGCCCTCCGCTCCGGCTTGCCGCATCACGCTGTCGTTCTAGCCCTGCGCTCCGAACCCCATATCCCGAGTTCGATTCCTGCTCACGGTCAGCATTGGGGACAACGAATATCTGAAATGGTCCTTAGCCTCCCCTTGGTCAACTCGATCATCAAATGAGTCCTGTTGGTGCAGAGGGGTCAAAGGTGACTGGGAGTGTGTGATCCTGGCCACACCATTCACCTTGTGCTCTGTGCCAGTCTTCATCGGTGGTTGCTAACAGCACTTTCCCCAACAGTCTGTGTAGGCTCTATGTGTCTGTGTGAGTATACAGGGTGTGAGTGTGTGTGGAAAATAGACGTAAATCAAGGCTTGTAGGGAGCAGCATCTGTGTGTGTGTGCACATTGGGGGTCAGTAACCCCCCCTACCTGGCGGCATTTCTACCAAATCCCACGGAAACTCCCAACTAAGCTTTTGCTGGGGACCCCAGGGGGACGGGCATTTATGATGCCTTCTGCCCAAACCCCATTTGTCAGAGCCAGACTGAGCCCCGCCTCCCCCTCCCCCCGCCTTCAGGGTTCCACCAAAAACAGGAAACCACCACGGTTGGCCACGTAGAATGTCCGAACGCTCACTGATGAGGAAAGGCTGCCATTCTGTCGGGAGGTGGGCCGGTACCCCCTGGATCTCTGTGATATTCAGGAGGTCCGGTGGACTGGCTCTGGCTCCAGTCACCATGAGGGGTGGACAGTCCTCTCAGGGCAGGAAACTGATAAAAAATGAACAGGGAGTGTCGTTGCTTTTAAATAAAACAGTGAAGGGGGTGTGGGAGCGTTGAGGTGAGAGGTGAGGAATGGTGGTGGTGGTGGTGGTGGTTGCTTATTCGCTCGCCGCAGATGAACATCAGTGGAGGGTTGCCGACTAGGCCGATGAGTCAGATGCCTTCTAAAACTTCCTGTCCCAGGTGCTGGCTAAAGTTTCTCCTCGGGATAGTCATCTTGTTGGGTGATTTTAACGCATGAATGGGTCATGACACAGATACCTGGGTCGGAGTAATTGGAAGGAATGTACCAGATCAGCTCAATAATAATGGTAGGAGGCTGCTAGACTTATGTGCAGCCAATGGGCTTGTAATCACCAACACACTTTTGCAGCATTGGCACATTCATACAATATCATGGATGCACACTGAGTCCAAGTAAGAACATCTGTTGGACTGTACAGTGAAATGGGTGAGGTTCAGGACTGTGGCTCATGCAGCTGCAATGACTGCATTGAGTATACAGTCCAGACCTCCCCAGAGACCACACTGAGATGGAGTTGGAGGCTCTACTGCTGAACCTGGTGTGTGACCATAAGAGGTGGGGTCTTACAATCAGCCCAACTAAAACTAATCAGCTGCCTTAGTTTATTTTGTCATCAGGCATCCACCCCCTAAGCTCTCCATAAGTGATGGGGCAGTTGTGGAGATGTTTCCATATCCGGGCAATGTGCTTATGTCCAACTCTGGTTTAGCAGCATAGGTCACACTCCAAATAATTCATGTGCCATGATCTGTTCATCAGCTGTGCAACGCTGTGTGGAAGCTACGTGACCTGTCATTCAACACGAAGATTTGGGTCTTCTCAGCCACAGTTATGCCCTTGCTACGATCCATCCTGGGTTTAGCCGAACTAGATTGTGTGAGCTCACAAATCCTTGAAAGATCTGGACAGAGTTCCATTGGTGAACTCCTCCGATGAGCGAGGCTGCATTGGCTGCAACACGTAGCCCGCATGGCCAGCCACCGCATGGTCAAACAACTTCTGTTTGGCCCCATAGAGGGGGCTAAACGGCCGCGGTACGGGCTAGAGAAGAGAAGGACTGATGTGATACAGAAGGATGTGGAGCTGAATGGATTTGCCAATGACTGGTGCCAGTGGTGTAAAAATTGGCCTCGATGGAGAACTCTCATGAAGGACGCTATTGAGCAGTTGGAGGCAGTCACCCTCCAGCAACAGGGGAGGGCAGAAGAGTGATGTTCACAACAATGAGCGGAGTGGCGGGCGGCTAAAACGCAGCAAGTTGGCACAGTAGGGAGCAAAGTTGGTGCATCGGCCAATCATCTCAGTCAACCCATGGCACCTGAGTCTGTCCCATGACCCGCTGCGAGCGAGCCTTCAGACACTTCACGTGGCCTAAAAGTGCACCTAGCGTAACACAAGCGCCGAGATAACATCATCGCCGTTTAGTTACAAATGCCGGTGGTTTTTGGTCGGTTTAAATAAATCATCAAACGTGAGCAGCAGCATCAACAGCATAGGGTAGGTATCTTCGCAGGCAGAAGCTAAGAGCGTGATCGGCATCCTCACCATCAATAGTCCCCTTAATTACTAATTATTATCATTAGCAACAGCAAATGCGTCTTATCTTGTCAGCCTCAGTAGATGCTTGTAAACAGCACTTGCTCAAATCGTCTGTATAGGCGACACGGGGGATCTTTGCGTGCATGTTAATACGTGTGAAAACATGCTTGTGCAACAGCTCGGAGTCTGTGCGCACGGAGCTGGAGCTGCTGGGGCGCGTCACGTCGCTGGACCTGAACGCAGAGCGGACGGAGCTGTTGAGCTGCTCGCGGGACGACTCGCTCCGTATCACCGAGCTGCGCACCAACAGCACGCGCGTCTCTCTCACGTGCGCGCTCGCCCCCGCATCCGCGTTGTCGCCACTCCTCACTCTGCGATCTTTCACTTGGAATCGGGAGTTGCTATTCGGTTCCACTCGATAATCGCGCGCTTTTTGTGTCTCGTCACTTTTTACAGCTTAATATGTATTGACCGTATTGTCATGTTAGGAAGCCACTGGAGCTATGCACTTTTAAATATAAATTGAAAACTCATATCTTTAGAACATTTTTTTGTGTTTAGTTTGGTGTCCTTCCCCCACACCCCCAATTAGTGTGGTTGGCAACGTACGATCCGAAATAAGTCCTTCTGCCTGCTCTGTTGAATTTTTGAACAGCCAAGTTTGTGTCATTACAGGGCGGAGGGCTTCAAGTGTGGAGCGGACTGGACGAGAGCTGTCTTCAGGTGATGCAAATCACTTGTCTGGCATGTGTCTGTGTGCCATGTGTCTCTGCAGTGTATTTGTCTAGCTGTCGTTCTTTCACGTGGCTTTGTATCTCCATAATACAGGTTTTTCTTTGGGTTAGATCGCTTGAATATAAATGTCGTTAAACCCGCCACCACCCAACAGCCAATAATAAGGTTTGTCACGTAAACAGAACATGCCAGTTCACTACTCGAATAGCACGCCAGTGTGTTGGAGAGCAAATCCACAACATTTACAATCTGAGTATGACATGTCACCAGTAATTACAACCGGCGTCATCAGGCTGCGATCAAACCCACATTTTCTTTATTATGGATGATATTGGTCGCGAAAGCCTACGTGTTAAACTGGCTTTGTATCTATCTAACTGTGTGCATTTCTTTCTGACTTTGTCTGCCTGTCCACCTGTCTGGCTGTCAGTCTGTGGTTGTTCCTTCTTGTTTGCATGTTTGTGCATGTCTGTTTGGCGGTTAGTGATGAAGGTAGTGGCTGTAATAGAGTTTGGTTTAGTGTCGATGGTGGTGGTGTTTTAATGTCACTTGTGGTAATGTTGTTAGTGCCAGTTTTGGTGGTGTTGGTGGTGGTGGAGGCCACAGCAGTTTGGTGATGATGCTGGTACAGCAACAACGAGTGGAGCGCCGGGCGGCCAAAATGCAGCAATACTCTTAGGTTTTTTCAGTAAAGCCACGTAGGTAAAAATAAATAATAAAATAAAAATTATTGAAATAATAATAGAAATAAAATTATAAATCACGACGTTTCGGAGGCAACACAAGTCTCCGTCATCAGGTTGGGACAGTCACAGCTAGATTTACTGTATCAAGTGAGGCAAAAAGTTCTTAAATACAAGTTAAGGGGGGAGGAGGGGGGGAGGGGCTTATCTGAATGTGGTAGCCAATGAATGAAACGTATTGGGGGGGCAGGGCTAAAAGAGAACAACAGGTGCACATGCTAAAAGAGAACAACAGGTGCACATGCTAAAAGAGAACAACAGGTGCACATGCTAAAAGAGAACGACAGGTGCACATGTGTTTTTTACCCAGTGTTGGTTGACAATCCAAATACAAAAAAAGGAGAGTACTGTTAAACGCTGGGGATGTCAACACTCGGTAAAGTAGAATAGTACCTGTCAAATAAGATGGTCCAAAAATGTGTAGTTAAATCTTTTTTGCATGGTTAATACCATCTTTCCAATGATTACTCAGTTTGTACCCATCATCACGGTGGAAATTATTTCTGTGTTTGTATATCTGGATGGCTTCGTGTACAAACCTTTGATGGTAGCCAGAGGGTTTGCAGAGCACCTTGGTCTCGGAAAAGACAATATCATGAGAGCCCACAGCGTTGTAGCAATGATCGGCAACGGCGGAAGACTCAATTTTGCCGTGTTTCAGATCTGACTTGTGCTCGCGAACACGATCAGAGACATGACGTTTCGTTTCCCCAATGTAACAATCACCACAGCTGCAACTCAGTTTATATACTCCAGGGTATTGCAAGTCAGGAATGACATCCTTCATAGATGGAATTAGATCATGGATTTTATGTACTGTACTGAATCGGACTTGGATCTTATGTTTGTTTAGAATTTTGTAGATCTTTTTGGTCACGCCTGCTATGTATGGCAACGTGATAGTTTTGATCGGAGTTTCAAGTGGCTGTTTCTGTATGGTGGGAGAAACAGCTTGGCGGATGGTGCGGTCAGAGTATCCGTTCATCCTGAGGGCCCGATGTAGATGTCTTAATTCACTGGCCAGGTGGTGTTGGTCAGAAATGCCATGAGCTCTGTGGTATAGCATTTTGATGAAATAATTATTTTGAGATGGGTGGTGGTGGGAATCAGGAAAACGCAGCAAGTTGGCACAGTAGGGGGCACAGTTGGTGCATCGGCCAGTCATCTCAGTCAACCAATAGCATCTGGGTCTGTCCCATGACCTGCTAGTGAGCATTCGAAACTTCACATGTCCTTAAAGTGCACATTGTCTGGCACAGGTACTGTGGTGACGTCACCGCCACTTACTGGTGGTGGAGGCTGGTAGTAATGGTCATGGTTAGTGGTGGTGTTGGTGGCACTTGCCACCATGTTGTGCTCGTTATTTGTGTTTACACTGCACTAACACAACACTGCTGTTGCTGTGTCACTGTGTTCCTGTTTCACTCTGTCGCTGTGTGTGAGTGTAAACCGCCCTAACGCACCGCTGCTCTGTTGCTCTCCTCAGCCCGGATGGACAGTACGTGACGGCCGGCTCGGCTGACGGGACGCTGTTTGTGTGGAACGCCGCCACGGGGCACGTGGAGCGCTCTCTCTCCCGGCACCACAGGTAGCGCCGCCCACCGCCCCGGCACCACAGGTAGTGCCGGCCACCGCTCCGGCACCACAGGTAGTGCCGGCCACCGCCTCGGCACCACAGGTAGCGCCGGCCACCGCCTCGGCACCACAGGTAGCGCCGGCCATCGCCCCGGCACCACAGGTAGTGCCGGCCACCGCCTCGGCACCACAGGTAGCGCCGGCCACCGCCCCGGCATCACAGGTAGTGCCGGCCACCGCCCCGGCACCACAGGTAGTGCCGGCCACCGCCCCGGTACCACAGGTAGCGCCGGCCACCGCCCCGGTACCACAGGTAGTGCCGGCCACCGCCCCGGTACCACAGGTAGTGCCGGCCACCGCCCCGGCACCACAGGTAGTGCCGGCCACCGCCCCGGTACCACAGGTAGTGCCGGCCACCGCCCCGGTACCACAGGTAGTGCCGGCCACCGCCCCGGCACCACAGGTAGCGCCGCCCACCGCCCCGGCACCACAGGTAGCGCTGCCCATCGCCCCGGCACCACAGGTAGCGCCGCCCACCGCCCCGGCACCACAGGTAGCGCCGCCCATCGCCCCGGCACCACAGGTAGTGCCGGCCATCGCCCCGGCACCACAGGTAGCGCCGCCCACCGCCCCGGCACCACAGGTAGCGCCGCCCATCGCCCCGGCACCACAGGTAGTGCCGGCCACCGCCCCGGCACCACAGGTAGCGCCGCCCACCGCCCCGGCACCACAGGTAGCGCCGCCCATCGCCCCGGCACCACAGGTAGTGCCGGCCATCGCCCCGGCACCACAGGTAGCGCCGCCCACCGCCCCGGCACCACAGGTAGCGCCGCCCACCGCCCCGGCACCACAGGTAGCGCCGCCCACCGCCCCGGCACCACAGGTAGCGCCGCCCATCGCCCCGGCACCACAGGTAGTGCCGGCCACCGCCCCGGCACCACAGGTAGCGCCGCCCACCGCCCCGGCACCACAGGTAGTGCCGGCCATCGCCCCGGCACCACAGGTAGCGCCGCCCACCGCCCCGGCACCACAGGTAGTGCCGGCCATCGCCCCGGCACCACAGGTAGCGCCGCCCATCGCCCCGGCACCACAGGTAGTGCCGGCCACCGCCTCGGCACCACAGGTAGTGCCGGCCACCACCCCGGCACCACAGGTAGCGCCGGCCACCGTCCTGGCTCCTCTCCCAGCCTCTGTGCTTTTGTGCGCGTGCGAGCATTTGTATGTATTTGTATGTCTACATGCGTGTGGGGAACGGTAGTGTAGCGGATAGCATGCTGCACTTTGAACCTGATTGATTCCCGCTCATGGTCAACACCAGTGACGATTATCTGAACCGGTCCTGGGCGTCCCCTAGACCGACTCGGCCTCAAATGAGTACGTGGTGCGGTGTGTAAACATCGCCACTGTGGAGACATAGACGGCCGGGCGTGGTGTTGGCCACCCACCCCCTCATGTGCCTTGCCTGCCTTCATAGGTGCTCGCTAACAGCGCTTGCCGCAACAGGGCTATACTGGGGATCTTTGCCTGTTTGTGTGTGTGTGCGCGCGTGGGTGTGTATGTATGTATGCATGCGTACGTGCATGTGTGCATGGTAACGTGTCCATGTGTGTCTGTGTGTGTGTTTCTGGACAAAGTCCCATTGATGAGCTTCTCCGGCAGGCAAGGCTGCGTTGGCCTGGTCATGTAGCCCGCATGTCCAGCCACCGGATGCCTAAACAGCTTTTATTCAGCCGGATAGAGGGGGCTAAACGGGCATGGAGTGATGTGGTACAGGAGGACGTGGAGCTTAGTGGACATTACGATGACTGGTACCAGCAGTGTCGAGATCGACCTCTATGGAGGAGGCAGTTAGAGGCAGTCACCCTCCAACAACAGCGGAGGGCAGAGGAGTGATGCTCACAACAACGAGCGGCGCGCCGGGTGGCTAAAACAGTAGGGGGCACAGGTGGTGCATCGGCCAGTCATCTCAGTCAGTTGACCCATGGCACCTGGGTCTGCCCCGTGACCAGGAGGTCACGGGGCAGACCCAGGTGCTGGCAGGAGCCAGCGGGCGTTTGACACTTCACGTGCCCTTAACGTGCACATAGCCTGGCACATACGCCATGGTGGCGTTAACGCCACTTAGCAGCAAATGGCGGTTGTTATTGTGTGTGTCTTGGTGTGTGCACGCACGTGGGGTGTATGTATCTTTGCGTTTGTGCATGGTAACATATCCATGTGCGTATCTGCCAGTGCGGCAGTGAATGCAGTGGCGTGGAGCCCTTCGGGGGAGTACATCCTGAGCGTCGACAAGGCCAAGCGCGCCGTGCTGTGGTCCGACTTGTGACCTCGAACTGTGAGCAGAGGTCATCACGCTCTCGTCGCCAACCCCGGTGGGCCAGCATTGCCAAACTGCGACCCCTGACCCCCGTGGCACCCATCAACTCTGAGAAGAATGGCGAAACCATCATGATGGGGGCAAGAGGGGACTCCGGAGAGTCCCAACAAGGGGTTCGTTCGGGAACACTCCCTCCCAAACCCACCGGGGTGCGATGGAAGACGGTTGCTAGGCGTTTCTACGGTTATTGGATGGGTGTGCATCACCACGATGATTTTGGCTGAGATTCTTTAATGGGTGCCGTGCCTCTCCACCGCTCTCTGCTTCTATTGCCTCCACTAACCTCCCCCTATCTCACGTGGCCTCACCTAACCTCCCTCTGCCTCCCATAACCTCTCCCCCTGTCTCACTTCCTGCCTCCCATAACCTATCTCATTTCACCTCGCTTCACCTCCTTCTGCATCCGAATGCTTCCCGCGTTCTCCCCCTGTCGCTCCTCCCATCTTTTCCTCGTCTCTGTTCACCCAAACGCTTCCTTGCTCCTCCCACAATTCCTCCTCATGGCTCTCCCCTACATCCCCTCCACACCCCCCAGAGCTGAGCTTGTAAATAGCACAAAACGATTGTGCACTTGTAAATATGCACTGGGCACCTGAGTGGCACCCTCCCTGCTAGACCCCCCCCCCCCGAACTGGACCTCCTCGAGAAACGGCAGCGCTTCTCGTTAGCGATTACCAGTCACGATCCACCAGTTACTGATTCCAGGTCGCCGATGTCTGATTACTGATTACATTTGTTGAGCATATTGCAAGACGGCCTGGTCAGATTTACAGAATTAATGCAAAAGATTCAGGGCCTTATTCAGCACCTCTCACTGTTTGTCCACTGACACATCCGAGCCACGCCAGAGGCCAAACTGAGCCAAACCGGTGCAGGTCAGGAGGCACCGGCTTGATTTTCCACTGCAGAAGCTAACAACACAAGTGATGAACGAGCGGAGACGCATGTAGGTGACGCGGTGATGCCTGTCCTCAGAGCGTACTGGCGTCACTACGAATGTGTCATTAGCCCTGGCCCTGCTTGACCCCAAGCCAGATTCGGATGTCTCATGATGTATGTCGACGTATCACTATTTTGCCAGCTCGGAAAATATCCAGTGGAAAACCACCCGTCCCCCGAGTTTGCTACGTGCTGGTTCCGCTTGATGTGGCGGTAGACGAGGTACGTCAAACGTCATCAGGCGTGTGGTGTCCATGGGAAAGGAGTGGTGGCCATGGAGAGCAAATTGCACAGAAGTTTAAGTACTGGAGTTGGAAGAGCTGTGGCTCAGTCCGCGTTTGTGTGGAGAGGCTGTGAAATGTAGCCAAACATCCCAACCCAGGACCTCCCTGAAGAGTCTTGATCCTTGCCATCACTTGTCAAGAGAGTCTTCCTGCTCTTACGAACATTGGGGGCAAACATCTCTATTGGGCGGCCCTGAGCTAATGGCGGAAATTACACATTCCTGTGGTAGGCTCGAGCCGGCGTGAGATAACTGGCTGACTTCCCACAAAGTGGAATACACTTTATCGACCATGTTCGAATGATTGTGATGACGATGATGATGGTGGTGGTGGCTTAATTTCTCACTGAATGTTTTTCGGGTCACTGGAAGCCTGGAGTATGTTGGCACGTAACTACAGTAGCCACAGCCATAGGAGTTAGTTATTGGACGTGGTGTGATGGGTGTGCACATTTTTTACCAGGTCGCCTACGCACACAGACTCGGCTAAAATTCAGCTTCGGGGATGATAGATATCGATAATGTTGGGGATTCTAGTCAACCCCAAACCAGGGTTGGTTAAATATTTCTTGTCTCGTTGGAGGGGAGCATGGGGATCGGCGGCTGGGTATTGAACCTGCGCCTCCAAGGTTTACGGCCTCGCCAGGCAGCGCCACCAATATTACACTCTCAGCCGCCGTGCAGGTGTGTGCAGGTGTTTGTGCAGTTGTGTGTGCAGGTGCACACGAATAAACAGACCAGGAACACGTCTGGTTTATTTTTGTACATCGGTCTTTTTTTGAGTTTTTTTCCTACCAGCTCTCTTCTGTGCTGTTGGCGCCGTGCCACGGGGCTGAAGATATGTCCATTAGACATTCTCTCAGAAAGCAGTGCATCACCCTGTGTAAGACAAGGAAACACCTGAGGAATGGCTGTTAAACCAATGTTTTTGCGTGAATTCTCAAAGCTAGACAAACCAAGAATAATTTTCAATTTGTAGCGGTCACAGTTCTTTTACTCCGGAGAGAGAGAAGCGCGGTTGAAATGACAGCAGAGTTGAGCCTGGTTGGCTCTTGAATTGGAGATGGGTTCAGGAGGGTTTGGGGCTGGCTGGGAGGTGGCCAAGAGATGGAGGCACAGCAATGGATTATTAAATGCGTCTGTACAGAGCTTTGGTGTCACCCCTCCTACGCGTGGTGGGGCTTCTCCGGTTTGCACCCACACGAAGCCATCCTCTCGTAAATGTTGTTTGCCAGTCTCCATTGAAAACATTTCTTTAGAACTGCTTTTTGTTTACTCTTTGGTTATTTCGGTAAAGTCACGTAGAAAGAAAGTTAATTAAATAATATAATACGACGTTTCGATTGCAACACAAGCAATCGTCATCAGGTAGAACTAAATTTGAGAGAGAGACAAGACACGGAGACACACAGACAGACAAGACAGACACAGAGAGAGACCACACAGACAGAGACAATATAGACACACAGACCCAATGCCTCTGTGTCGTGGCCTTAAATAGAGAGAGGGATGGGGGGGGCAGAGAGAGAGGTGGGTCTGCTGGAACAGATAAAATGTGCATGTCAATGTGAGAACTGTGTGGAAATTCACTCTGCGGTGGCAGGGGGAGAAAAAGAAAAATAATGTACCAGACTTGCTGGATCTTTCTCCCCCTGCCACCACGGGGTGGATTTCCACACAGCTCTCTCATTACTTGTACCTGATGATGATTGCTTGTGTTGCAATCAAAACGTCGTATTCTATTATTATTTTATTTCTTTCTACGTGACTTTACCGAAAGAACCAAAGATTATGGATTCCTGTAGTCACGAAAGCTTCAAATCAAGCTTTCCCATTTACATGCTAATGTTCTGCTCCAGCAGACCCACCTTTCTCTCTGCCGCACCCCCCTCTCTCTATTTAAGGCCACGACACAGAGGCATTGGGTCTCTGTGTGTCTATGTTGTGTGTCTCTTTGTGTCTTTGTGTTGTCTCTCTCTGCTTGTGTGTCTGTGTGTCTCCGTGTCTGTGTTTTATCTCTCTAAAATTTAGTTCTACCTGATCACGATTGCTTGTGTTGCAATCGAAACGTCGTATTCTATTATTTTATTTTATTTCTTTTTACGTGACTTTCACGAAAGAACCAAAGAAGAATTCCTGCAGTCACGAAACCTTCAAAATCAAGTTTTTTACGTTTAGTTTGTTGTCCTTCCCCCGCACCTCCGATTAGCACGGTTGGCTACGTACAGTACGAAGGAAGTTAAACATACATACAGCTAAACATGGCATTCTAGCAGGACCCTCGTGAAAAAGTTTTGAGACTCGAGGCTTGGCTATAAGAATGTCAAAGTACACGTCGCATGGCTGAATCGGAGACACGAAGCGTTGGAGGCACTGTTTATTAACACGCACCAACGGGTAACACTTCCAAATAATCCGTCTACAGTCGACTACAGTTCCCAGTCAGGACAGCCGGTAGACTGCCTGGCTGGCGACGCTGAGATGGTGAAGACGGAGACGACGAGAAGAACGGTGAAGACTCCAGCAGCAGCACGACGGGGACCCCACTCCAAACGACAGCCCCGAGGTCACCTCTCGGGGCTCCTCTTATACCAGGGGTCGGCAACCAAAATAACAAGAAGAGCCATTTCTTTCCAATTCGGTACAAAATTCAGTATTTCAAGAGCCGCAATGCATCTGAGTACATACTGTACTCACGTACATATCGTCAAGAAGCAGCCCGTAAAGAGCCGCATGCGGCTCCGGAGCCGTAGGTTGCCGACCCCTGTCTTATACCGTCAGCGTGGCCTGGCTCTGCCCCCGGCCACGCCCCCTTTCTAGAACCTACCCGAGGGTTCCTGGTGTGTTTCTTCCGTGACCTTTCCCCTCTGGTGTATCACGTGGCCTGTTGCCGTCAGGGCTGCTGTAAGCTGCAGATCCCTTTCCCCGCCAGCAGCTGCTACATAGCTAATTCTATGTCACTACACATGTACACCGATTGTCACGCTGGTGTTTGGTGAAGGGCGCCTCGTTCTGGTTTACCCGCGGAGATTGTTTGACCATACTTCACAACCCTAGTCAATTACGTTCACAATTGATGTTTTAGGCAAGGCCACAGTAGTCCAGCCAAATGTACATTGACCTCACGGCCTGCGCATGCGGGCGTGGGATTCAACTTGAGTGAATATGGGTTGGGGCGGAACAATTACAGGTTCCGTAGCTACTCGCCACTGATGTTAGCCGTGAATCAAATCGCTGAAATACCGCATCTCCTCTCAAGGAATTGGAACACGAATACAAAGACAAAAGCTCCCTGTATAGCCTCAACAGGCTGTTGGGGCTATACGACGGTCCGACTTACAATATTTCGATCTTACGATGGCGATAACGATATGACAAAATTTTAAATATTTTACATTTCGCGCGGCAGGCAAACGCAGCAGCATACAAGGTACGATACTGTGCGGTAGGACGCTGCCGGGATGTACTGTACGCATCTCCCGACCTTGTGTGATGCCTCACTCTCCCCAGCCGTCGACGGAGTTAAGTTGTCATGGTGTTAGCGCGTGTATTTTTTTCTGTCTTTTTTGTGCATGTATGGTACGCAGCTTTAGCGATTTCATTTTAGGGTTACCACGAAACGATACGTTCAATGCATGTTAAACGTTTTTTATAGCAGATAGCATTGTTGACTGAAAAAACTTTGTTTTGAAATTGCAGTTCATATAGGTAGGCTACGAATTTACCTTGTTTTTTACTTTAAATTTTACTGTGCAATACAGTATTGTAATTAATACATACAGTATATAGTTTATACAGTATGGTACTGTAAATTGCTCTGTTTTGCTCAAAAATCACCCCTCTTTAAGACTCCTGGGTAGGCTCGGCCATTTTCGACTTACGATATTTTCGACTTACGATGGGGTCGTCGTAACGCCTCTCCATCGTAAGTCGGGGACTACCTGTATTTGGCTGCTATAAATGTACACGTGGTAAGCCATCTTGTCGAGTTATCATTTGTGATGGCAAGGTCGCGTCAGAAAAAAGAGCTGGATATCTCAGTGGGCTTCATCTGGTAAAATACAATAAAAAGTCTATATTTAGTTTAGTTAGGTGAAGTGTATGTTCAGCTTCTTTCGCACCACGTACGTAGCCAACCGTGCTAATTGGAGGTGCGGTGGATGCCACATTCGTTTGTGAGATGTTCTTTAATCGCGCATGAGTTGAAACAAAGATCCCCCGTGTAGCTTTAACAGACTGTTGGGGCAAGTGCTGTTAGCGAGCACCTATGAAGGCCGATACGGCACACGAGGGGGTGATTGGCCAGCACCACGCCCGGCCGCCTTTGTCTCCCTAGCGGCGATGTTTACACACTGCACCAGGTGCTCATTTGAGGCTGAGTTGACCTAAAAGAGTTCCAGGACCGGTCGTCATTTGTGTTGGCCTTTGAGGAGGAATCGGACTTGGGTCGATGAATTCTTAGCGCTATCACTTGTACACGTGCAGTATCTAGTTTAATGTTGCTATGTCGGGTGGTGGAGGGCCTCGATGACACGAATTTGGTGAGATGATTACGCGGCTTCACCCAAACTTGCATTGTGAATCCGAGTTGTTGTTTGTCCAACCCCAATCGCACTGTGAATCCGCGCCGCGTGTGGTGTTCGTGGTGATAACCCCACTCCCACTCCCCTCCCGTCGTTTCACCATCGGCAGCGCTTCTTTCACAATCACGGGGGTCAGGGTAGCGAGGCGTCAGCTGCGTTGTGTGCAGCTGTGGGTGGTTCCTTGTGTATCCCACGCTGACAACTCAAGCACCCGCACGCTGACATTGGTGGCGAGATGTTAACGAACCTCTCCTGGTATACAGGAGATTTTGGTGTTCGATCCCGACCATTGACGCCTGCTGTATATTTGGAGTTTGCGTGTATCTCTCTCTCCCCGTGGTCGCGTGGATTTTTATCAGGGATCTCTGATTTTTTTCCCCTCTACATTTGGAATTAACGTCACGCGTTTTGAGTATTTGGCTGCTATACATTTCCACGTGATAAGCCACTTCGTTTAGCTATCATGTGTGGCTCGATCGATTATGAAAAAGAGCTAACTAGTTCAGTGGGCCTTACCTGGTAAAGTAAAAAATAATATTTACAATTTTTTAGATCCACACACGTCGGCACACGCAGTGGCGTCTCGACACACTCGCACGTTGACACATTCACAGTGGCACACGCTGGCACAGACAACACTGCCATAGATATGCCGGCATATTCACACACTCACTGGCACGGATACACTGACACTCAGACACATTCGCCTTTGTGTCTCCAGTGGTGACTCTTACACCTCGACGGGTATTAATTTAAGGCTGAGACGACCCAGCGGAAGTCCAGGACTGGTAAGTCGTGGCCGGGAGTCGATCTTCGGTCGCCAGGTTTGTAACGCAACCGATCTCCACACCCCGCTCCCCACATACACAAACGGACACGTGCATTGGCACTGACAAAGATAAAGACATCACCCGTGTAGCCTTGACAGACTGTTGGGTCAAGTGCTGTTAGCGAGCACTTTTGAAGGCCGACACGGCATACGAGGGGGTGGGTGGCCAGCACCACGCCACACAGACACACAGACACACACAGACACACACACACTGCCTAGCTGATACTCACTGGTACTGACACTGACGAACACACACACAGATACACTGCCTAAATGACATTGGTGCTGACACACACTGACGCGCACCACAGCAGAAACTTCCGTGTACTCTGCGACTCTCCTCCTCCCCCCGTCTCCCTCGTCTCTCTCGTCTCTCCCTCTCGCGTCTCTCTACTCCACAGCTCCCTTCCGTGCCTGCCCCCGCCACTTCGACTCTGCGTGAGAGAGAAAAGCGAGGCCGCGGACGAGGTGAGCAGATAACAGGACGAGGAGAGGGGAGAGGGGGGATTAGGGTTAAGGGTAGAATGTGCTCCAGTGATTAAACGTGGCTCAGGGTTTGAATGGCAATCACGCTTTGAACGGGATTCAGGGTTTGAATAGGTTTCTGGAGTTCAATGGGGTTCAGTGATTGTACGGGACTCCGGGTTTGAATGGGGTTTGGGAATTCAATGGGGTTCAGTGATTGGGTTCAGGGTTTGAATGGCGTTCACGGCATGGATGGGGTTCAGGAGTTGAATGGAATTCGGGGTATGAATGCGGATCATGGTTTGAATTGGACTCGAGTTTCAAGGCCACCCGGATGAGTCTTTATCTGCAAGAGCGACCTCCTGCGGAGTGAGTCTGCCAGTAGGGGACGACGAGTCCTGCTGTTGCTCCTCTGTTATCCCTATTGAGTAATGTACTGGACTGTGCTTTGGTTATACCACCCGCAGCAATAACCAGGGCGGCCGCTGGTATCGAACCGTGAAGGGTTGAGGGGTTTAGAATTAGGGATTCAGGGGGAGGGGTTCGGGGTAGGAGTTGAATGGGGTTATTAATGGATCCCTCCTTGTAAGGCATCATCAGAGTTGAGGTGCTGGAGTTGGTACGATACCTTCAGAAGTTGCCATCTCTTTCTCTTCTCAGCACAAGGCGGTCCGCTGCTCTCTGTAGTATCCCTATAGCAGCACTCCGTGTCAGTAGGGGGTTAGTAAGATGGACGCTAGGGAGACAAAGGCGGATGGGCATGGTGCTGGCCGCCCACCACCTCGTGAGCGCCGTGCCGGCCTTCATAGGTGCTCGCTAACAGCACTTGCCCCTACAGTCTGTGTCGGCTCCCACGTGTCTTTGTAAGTGTACAGGATGTGTGTGTGCGTCAATAGACATAAACCCAGGCATTTGGGGAGCGGCGTTTGTGTGTGTGTGCACTTGACGTCGGTTTAAATAAACGATCAGCAGCTGCAGCAATAGGGCGCCGGGTTGGCTAGGAGATGTTAACTCCCTCGCCTGGTATGCAGGATGTCGTAGGTTCGATCCTGACCCTGACGCCTGCTGCTGTATATTAGGAGTTTTCGTCTCTCTCTTCCCACAGTCGCGTGGATTTTTCTCCGGATCCTCCGGGTTTTCCCTCCACACGTAGAAACAGGCGATTAAGAGTATTTGGCTGCTGCTATAAATGTCCACGTGATAAGCCACCACTTTGTTGAGCTGTCATTTGTGGCCAGATCGCTTCTAAAAAAGAGCTATACAGCTCGGTGGGTCGTACACTTGGTGAAATAACATAAAGCTTGGTTTGGTTTTTAGCTGCATTCGCACCATCATACATCACCACCATCAGAGCCACTAGCGTAAACATCGCCCTCAGCAGCAGCAATCATCATCACTGAGTGTAACTCCTCCCGCGTACTCATCCAGCGATCGTTCATTACACTAATTGGTGACGCGATCTGCGTGTCTGCAGGTGTTGTCACGCGATGGAGGAGAAGACAAGGACAAGGTATGGGGCCCATAGAGCCAGGCTGAGGCAAATAGAGCCAGACTAAGGCTCACATAGACAAAGGCTCACGGGACTCATCAAGCAGACTAAGGCTCACAGAGTCAGACCAAGGCTCACGGAGCTCATAAAGCCAGACTAAGACTCACAGGACTCATAGAACCAGGCTACGACTTATAGAGTCATACTAAGGGTTATAGAGCTCAGAGACAGATGCAGACACGGGGCTTACAGAGACAGCAGCCAGACTTAGGCTCTTGTGTTCCACTGTATTCAGTGTGGATTTCGTAACCTTTGTATCTGTCCCCCCTCCCCCCTTTGTCCTACCCCCCCCCCGCCCCCAGAGTCTTTAAGAAGAACAGCCCTAACGGGAAGGTGCGTGGCGAAAGGGGAGGGGGGAATAGGGAAGGAAGAGCAAAGTTCCTCCTCACGCAGCACGGGTTACGAAACCCCCATCCCCTCCCCTCCTGATGCTCCCCTCCCCTGCCAAGCCACTCGGGTCAAAGTTCGCCGAGAGAAATTAGTCGCCAAAGCAACCAGGTTTACACGTCTTGACACCTGCGCATGTGTGCGCGCACCTACGCGGTAGTGTAGTGGTTAGCGCTCTGTGCTACGAACACGGCGACCTGAGTTCGATTTCCCCACTCACGGCCAACAACACCAGTGACGATTATCTGAGCTGGTCCTGGGCCTCTCCTAGGTCGACTCAGACTCAAATGTGTACCTAGTGTGGTGTATAAACATCGACACTAAGGGAGACAAAGGCGACCGGGCATGGTGCTGGCAACCCACCCCCTCGTGTGACTTGCCGACCTTCACAGGTGTGCTAACAGCACTTGCCCCAACAGTCTGAAAAGGCTTTTCGGTATATCTTTGTCTTTGTAGCGCAAGAACAGGTCTGCAGGTTTGCTGAGCATTTCTGTGAGGTCTTGGGGGAAGGGAAACCTCTCAACTCATGCAATAATCCTAGGGCAAGGTGGGGCTGACCCTGCTGGTGCTGCTGAAACTCACATTTTGGAGGAAGTAGCCGCTCCTTGTAAGTGGTTGGCTGAGGTGCCAACGGTTGAGGAAGTGTAAAGGGTGACCTTGAGCTTGAGACCTGGTAAAGTGCAGGGGAGAGATGACCTCCCAAGCGAACTGCTGAGGGAGGGAGGCATCTGTGTGCAGTCTACCTTACCTGACATGATCACAACTGTCTGGTCCATTGGAAAGGTTCCGCAGGATTAGAAAGATGCCCTGATTGCAACAATTACAGGGTATCTCCCTCTTTAGTGTGGCGGAAAAGGTTCTGTAAAAAAATATTCAACGTCGCCTTGTCAGGCATGCTGAGAAGCTTGTCCTACACAGATGCCAGTATCTCTCTCTGCTAGAGCAGAGGTGTAGAAAATGTCAACAGGACCTACATCTCTACTTCATTAATATGGTTAAAGCCTATGATTCCATCAATAAGCCATCAATAAGCTTTGGGTTGTGCTTCGTGCTTTTGGAGTCCCAGACCGTCTGCTCACAATCTTAAAGGCCCTTCATGATGGTGGGCAGGGCCGGGTAAAGTTGCATGGCTGGGTGTCAGAGACATTTTTTGTTCACCTTGGGGTGCAACAGGGCTTTCCTCTGGTCCAACACTATTTAACATCGTATTTGACGGTATAGTTCCAGAAGCTTTTCATGGATGTACTTAATATGGTATAGATGCAATAGGAGGCTGATCGATGCCCAGGTGCAGTCAAGGGGTAGCGGAGAGAAATACGAGGTGCGCACAGTTAAGCGGGTGCAACGGAGGGCAAACAGGTGTGCGCGTTGCAACATGAGGTTTGCACAGACAAACCGCCAGTAATTAAGGGGAGAAGCGGGAGCAACCGAGGTCGAATAGGTGCAACACTATGACTGGAAGTTGGCGCCTAGGAGATGGGAGATGGGGGGTGATGATAAGAGATTAATGGGACAACTGGCGCTGGCCTGGCGGCAGCTTAAGTGGAAGCACGTGAGGACTCGTGATAAGCAGGGGGATATAAGCGGGAGTGTATGAGCGAGGGGAGTTGTTGCCGGGAACCAAGAGTGAAGACATCTCGCCGCTGCCGCTGAACCCCCCGCCGGGGACAGACGGGTGAGCGGATCTGAGGGAGCATAGGTTAGGGCAGAGGTGGAGATGCGAAGTTGCTGTGTGTGGAGTCGCTGATTGTGAAGACGCTTTGTGCGGAGTCGCTGAGAGCAGAGCTGCTAAGTACAGAGTAGGTGAGGTGCAGAATAGACAAGAGGGGGAATAAGTTGAGTATATGTGACCATACAAATAGTTATAGGAGTGCCTATAACTGGCGCGAGAACAGGTGAATAAAGTGTAAGCAGGTAACTTGTTACAATGTGTCGGTGTGAGTAATTTTTGAAGACACTGCAAAGGTATGGCACCCGATTGGTCAACCACATTATATATGCTGATGATTTGGTAATTGATGCCTACTCTGACGAGTTGGAGGTGCTGCTGCTGAACCTGGAGCATGCTAATAAGAAATGAGGTGTCACGGTGGCAAGATGTTAATTACCTCGCTTGGTATGCAGGTGGTCGTGCGGTCGATCCCGACGCTGATGCCTGTATATTTGCAGTTTCCATCTTCCCCCCATGGTCGCGTGGATTTTTTCTCTGGGTCATCCGGCTTTTCCCTCCACGTTTAGAAACATGCATTTAGAGCAGTGGTTCTTAACCTTTACTGTAGCCTTGCACCCTTTTGGTTCTCAATCGAAAAAACATATAATGTTAATAAATACATAGGTTTGATTAAACAAAGTAGTGTTACTTACGGTCCCGTGCTTATTGCGTTTTTTATTATTTGCCTTCTAAAAAAATCTGGCCATGCCTCACACCCCCGAGAAAAGACATCTCGCACCCTCAAGGGGTGCGTGCACCCCAGGCTAAGAAGAAGAACCACTGATTTAGAGTGGCTGCTAGAAATGTCCACGTGGTAAGCCACTTCGTTGAGCTATCATTTGTGGCCAGATCGCTTCTGAAAAACAGCTACATAGCCAGTGGGCGCTTACCTGGTAAAATAAAAATATAAAGTGTTATAGTTAAATAGTTTAAGTTGCAATTGAGATGGGAGAGAAACCAGAGACGTTTGTGAAGCAATGCGATTAAAGGTTGACTTAAAACTTTCGTGACTGCAGTAATCCATATTATTTGGGTCTTTCGGTAAAGTTACGTAGATAGGTTCAAAGAAAATAATTTAAAAAACGACGACGTTTCGATCGCAACACAAGCGGTCGTCATCAGGACGTGACTTTACCAAAAGACCCAAAGAATAGAGATTCAAGGTGTTTGGGGCTTTCACGGAACCCCGAGCGAGAACCGCGTGAGGTTTTGTGTCCTCGGTACAATGCCGTAGGTCCTGAAAAATAAACACAAATAATGAGTGTGTGGCTCAGCGATGAACTCGGCCCAATGAATCTCCCTCCAGGTTTTGCGAGAAGAGGCGATAACTGGTCTTGGGGTAAAGGTCACAGTGATGAAAGGGGTAGCTCGCGAGATGAAGCGCGAGGTGGAATAAGAGATTAGGATTCAGCAAAATCGAAAGTGGTTGTCGAGGTTGATTGTGTTTGCTGCCAGCGTGGTCTGAGGAGAGGCACGGGGGCAGCAGCCATCCAATGCCTCTGTGTAGGCTGTAGAGGATGAGGAACTGGATTGATTTCTCTACACTGCCCTCATCTTCATCGTCGGAGTCTTTGTTCTTGAAATGCGAGATTGAGGTTGAAATTGGAATTGAGCCAAATGACGAAATACATTTTACGAGTAGCTGGTGTGGCGACAATAGCACTGAGAAGACAAAGGTGGCCGGGCAGGCGTGCTATAGCACCCCTCGTACACCGCAGCAGCCTTCATAGGCACTCGCTAACAGCACTGGCTCCAACAGCCTGTGTATAGTACACGGGGTACCTTTGTTTGTGTCACCTGTGTACAGCTCACGGTTTACCTGGGCAAAAGGGACTTTGTGGATCACCTGGATCACGTGGACCCTGTGGGTGAGTGCCGGATGGGACACGCACTACTTCACCTCCTGACCTGCATCGCTGCCTCACCTGTACAGGGGAGCCGGATACTCTCACCTGTACACACCTGTCGGCTTTTGTTCCACTGTCCTTGAGCCATTAGTTCAGCAATGACATTGGTACCACACATACCAGTGATATTTTTGAAGGCTAATTCTAGATCACGAATGTTGTCCTCGTAGCAGCGGCTTTTGGCTGGCAATCTGGAACGCGCTTCCTTCCCATATTAGGAAGCCACCGGAGCGATGCACTTTTAAACTATATTGTAAACTAATTTATTTAAAATAGCTTATTGCGTTTAGTTTGTTGTCCTTTCGCCGCACCTCCGATTAGCGTGGTTGGCTACGTATGGTGTGAAAGAGGTTCAACATACAGTATATGTATTATGGTCAGCAGTGGCGCAGTGGTTATCCCACTGCGTTACGAACCTGGCAACCTGAGTTCGATTCCGGCTCACGGCCAACACCAGTGAGGATTATCTGAACTGGTCATGGGCCTCAAATGAGCAACTGGTGCGATGTGTACGCATCATCGCCACTGGAGAGACAAAGGTGGCCGGGAGTGGTGCTGACCACGACCCTCTCGTGTGCCGTGCCGGCCTTCATAGGTGCTCGTGGATAGCACTTACCCCAACAGTCCGTTAGGATCTTTGTTTATGCATATGTATCCAGCAGTGCCAGATTAAGCTAGTGTGGGGCCTGTAAAATGTTATAAAGGGGCGCTAAAAAAACACGTAAACATTTAAACACAAATTGTTTTACTTGCATAATAAAGTATTGTATTTTTTCATTTGCTATGCAGCCAGATAATACGACAAATCGATAACCTTAAACACCCAGTCGTTCATGAAAGTACTATCGTAATAGAGCAAGTGCAGAATCACTGAATCGGAATTGATAGCTTGAAAGCATTTAGCGCGGGGCCCTCGAAAGTGCGGGGCCCGTAGCATGTGCTACTTTTGCGACTAGGATAATCCGGCACTGGTATGCAGTAATGTGTGTGCCCTCTCGTGTCGTTGGCCAATCTAAATTTAAAACTCATTTCTTTCTAACTGCTTTTTGTGTTTAGTTTGTTGTCCTTCCCCCGCACCTCAGATTAGCACAGTTGGCAACATACGTTGTGAAAGCAATTCAACATACACACATGAGATCACATCACACATTGCAGATACAGATTACTTAAGACACTGCCCATATCTGCCTGTCCCTTGCCTCACCTTTTACCTGTCTCACCACCTCACATGTCACCTGTGTGTGTTGTGTGCACAGACGGCGTTGTTCTGGTGGAGCCCGATTACCTTAAGGAGAGAAAAGGTGTTTCACATCGTTTCCCTCGCAACCCCTCAACCAACACGCCCACCCAACCCACACCTGCCCCCACCACCACTCTGCTCCGACCGTAACACTGATTACGTGGCTCCCTTCACCTGTATCCCCGTCTCCTTCTCTTCCCCCCCCCCCCATTCCCTGGTCTTGCCGTGTCCCTCCGTGCTCACCCCAAGCTCCCCCCATGTCCCTCCGTGTCCCCCCGTGTCCTCCTGTGCTCACCCCGTGTCCTTCCGTGCTCCCTCGCGTGTCCACAGGGCCCCAACGACCTATTTCAACGGGGGTGGGGGGAGCTGTGCAAGATCCGACTGTGCCCCCCCCTCCTTTCTCCCGACTCACTTTTACTGAAATAGCTACGGATGTTTTTAATCGGGCTTGGTCCATAGTAGACCACAGATAATTTATTATTATTAATTTTCACACCGTATAACAGTAATATGTAGGCTATAATTACCACTTATCATTTTAGTTGCACCGTGTATTGGGTTTAGAGGAAGACAGTTTTCAGCAGTGAAATGATTAATAAAACGATGTAAAGGTACAACACTCACAATTAGGTTATCGTGCGTCTTGCTTTCATGCGCATGGCAGTCAGCAAATCAGCCTGGTGGTGCTCAAGTAACAAACACCAGCACTAGACCTCCGAGATTTTACGCTGTGCATTTTTTCGTAAATATTTTTTTTTCTTTTGTAACAATGCTTTTTTGGCATTCATGGTTAATTGTTAGAATATTTCGATTTAAAGCTTTCGTGACTGCAGGGATTCATCTTCTTGGTTCTTTCGGTAAAGTCACGTAGAATGGAAGTGATAAAATAATAAAATTAAAACATAATAAAATAATTATGTTTTATTTTTATTATTGTATCACTTCCCTTCTACGTGACTTTACCGAAAGAACCAAGAAGATGTTAGAATATTTTTTGTTTTAATCTTTTTTTAAAGATGTATTTATTTGAGAATAGGGTTTCCCCTTTTTTCTGCCAACAAAACAGGTGTTAAGATGTTAAAACACCAAACTGAAATCTTTTACAAGGAATCATGTCTGTTAACCACAATACTTGTGGTCAGAATGCAAACACAAACATACTCTGATAATATATGCATTGTCTTTGAAACTGATTGGTCCACACCAGAGACAGCTTTCTTTTAGTCTCAAACGGTGTTAGTTGATTCTGGGGCCGATTGGGCCCCTATGCGTTGCACAATGCTGGCACACACCCGCCCGTGTGTCCCCGCTGCGTGTCCCCCCCAGTGTTCGTGGCGCTGGCGTGCGTGTTCCGCTATGGCCGTGAGGATTTGGACGTCCTCGGTCTCTCCTTCAGGAAGGAGCTCTTCACACGCACCGCGCAGGTAACAGCACCATGCGCGCGTGCCGCCGGCCCAGGGGCGCTGTAATACTCTGATTGGGGGTGTTGGTGACGCGTAGGGGCCCAGTCCGCCACAAGGGGGTCCCGAATCAATAAACAAGTATAATTATGTTAAAAAAAATCATAAAAAAAATTACCTGCGGTCTACTGTAGACCAAGCCCGATTACAAACATCCATAGCTGTTTCAGTTAAAGTGAGTCAGGAGAAAGGAGGGGGGCCTTGCATAGCCCCCCCCCCTACCTCGTTGAAGTAGGGGGTATGCCGGGGTGCCGCGTGTCTCATTCCATGCGAGCGATCCGCAGTCTGATTTTTGTCAAACTTGGACTGCGACGCCAGCACACAAATGTCGTCGCGGGGGTCAACTCGGCACGACCGTGAGGGCGCCGCTGCGTCTGCTCCTCTACCCATCCCCGCCCCCCACAGGTGTTCCCCCGAGATGGTGGCGAGAACGGGGGCTCCCCACCAACACGTCTGCAGGAGCGTCTCCTCCGCAAGCTGGGAGAGAACGCTCACCCCTTCGTCTTCCACGTGAGTTGCCGGCACCGTGGCGGCAACTTTGCCAGCGCCGTTAGCACGGGAACAGCGGGTTCTGCGTGGCACTGATTGACCGCCTCCATGATTGTTGTCGTCCGATTAGCACGGTTGGCTACGTACGGTGCGACATACGTTTCAACATACATACACAAAGTGCTTGCTGCAAATTAACCACACTACCTTGATGATCTCTACGAGGAACAAACCGACACGCGAACTCCAGTCATCCTCGCTGCGGCTTTTGGCTGGTCATTGAACAAAGACGGGCACCGCATCGCGTGCTTTCAGATATGCTTCTACGGCCGTCTGGAATGCTGGAGCTATGTACTTTTAAATCATCTAGATTGACAAACTCATTTCTTTAAGACTGTTTTATGCGTTTAGTTTGTTGCCCTTCCCTTGCTCCTCCGATTAGCACGGTTGGCTGCATACAGTGCAAACGACGTTCAACGTACATACATGTGCGTATGTGTGTACACGCGTGTTAGATCCCCCAAGACCTGCCATGCTCCGTTACGCTTCAGCCTGGGCCAGAGGACACAGGGAAGGTGAGACCAGACACGCAGACACACGGGGACGCACAGATAACAACCGTCGTTTGGCACGAAGTGACGGTGACGTCACCACAGCGCTTGTACCAGGCTAGGTGCTATTTGAGGCCACGTGAAGTATGCAAGGCTCGCTGGCAGGAGGTCAAAGGATAGACCCTGCAGGTCCGATGAGTTTACTGACTGAGATGACTGGCAGATGCACACCACCTGTACTCTCCACTGTGCCAACTTGCTGTATTTTATCCACCTGGCGCTCTGCTCATTTTTGTGGGCGTCGCTCCTCTGCCCTCTGTTGTTGTTGGAAGGCGACTGCCTCCAACTCGTCATCGGCAAGTCTACTCAGCTTCATATCCTCTGGTACCACATCGGTTCCATCTCTTCTCCAGCCTGTGCTGTGCCCGTATAGCCCCCTCTATCCGGCCGAACAAAAGCTGGATCGTAGGCAGACCAGCCTAAATGTTTCTAACTGGTGAAGATGTTCCATTAGGGGGGTCCACGTTTCCCAAGCGAAGGGAGGGTATGACCATGGCTGAGAAGACAGGAAACTTCGTGTGGAGCGACAGACCAGGTGGTTTCCACACAGCGTTGCACAGCCGATGAAAATATAATCCTGCTCGACTGATTCAGAGCGAGACCTGATTGCTGAGACGATAGTACTTTGCAAGCCCACTGGCTATCAACAAATATTCGTTCATGAAGCCATCCATACATACAGAAAATTACACAATTTCAACCGAGAGGATGGTTATAAACTCAGCAATCATTGGAAAGACGTCATCAGCCACTTTGGGTCATTACTTGACTTGTGTTTTCTTGTCTATCAACCTCCACCGTCAGCAGTGTGGTGTGTGGAGCGGGATGCAGTGATTTCCTGGCGGCCCTTTGCTCCATTGGCTTTGCTGCTGCATTGACATTGCTGCCGCATTGGCATTGCTGCCCCGCCCATGCTACTGGTATTGCTGATACACTTGGGCTACACCCATCTCCAAACCTTTTAAACAGTTTGCCTTTAGATGGCTAACCCCTTTTCCTGATGACGACCGCTTGTGTTGCGATCGAAACGTCGTGGTATTTTTATTCACTATTTACATGATTATTATTTCTATCTACGTGACTTTACCAAAAGAACCAAAGAATAGTGTTGGTAATTACAAAACCATGGGCTGCACAAAAGTCTAGCAGCCTCCTATCGTTGTTATTGAGCTGATCTGGCCGATGCCTTCTAATAACTCTAGACCAGGTGCCAGCATCGTGACCCACTCGGGCATTAAAGTCACCCAAGAGGATGACTATTCTGAGGAGCCACTTTAGCTCGCAGCTGTGACAGGTCATAAAAGGCATTTAACTCACTGGCGTTGCCTGCATCCCTCCACTGATGTTCATCTTCAGTGGGGGCATAAGTAACCACCACAACCACCACTCCTCGCCGCTGGTTGGTGGGAAGACGAGTCCACAGTTTCCCACACTTTACATTTTTTTGTTCAAAAGAAGAGCCACTCCCTACTGTTTAGCAGTCTCCTGCCCCGAGTAGAGGACACATACACACAAATACACTCATGCAGACCCGCACACACATACTCGCAGACCCGCACAGATACACACAATGAGACACACACAGACCCACACGGACAAAGATCCCCCGTATAGCCTGTAACAGACTGTAGGGACAAGTGCTGTTAGCGAGCACCTACGAGGCCGGCACGGTACGCGAGGGGATGGGTGGCCAACACCACGCCCGGCCGCCTTTGTCTCCCTAGTGGCGATGTTTACACATCGCACCAGGTACTCATTTGAGGCTGAGTCGACCTAGGGGAGGCCCAGGACCGGTTCAGATAATCGTCACTGGTGTCGGCCGTGCACCGGAATCAAACTCGGGTCGCTGGGTTCATAGCGCAGCGCGCGAACCGCTACACTACCACACACAGACTCACACAATCTCACACGGACACACACAATGAGACACACACAGTCCGCCACAGACACATACAGCACTCAGACCCACCGATCTCCCTCCGCTTCCCGTGTCCCCCACCCCAAGGCATGTGGCGTGGACTACGAGGTGAAGGCGTTCTGTGCCAACAGCCCTGACGAAAAGCCGCACCACCGGTGAGCCACCCTCCTCAACTGGAAACTGGTCGCAAGGCAATAGGGTGCTAGGCAACAGGTCGCTGAGTAAACTGATGCTAGACAATATGTCGTTGGGTGCACTGCTGCTAGGCAACAAGTTAGGTGAACTGCTGATAGGCAACAGGTTGCTTTATAAGCTGCCACGAGGCATTTTTGTTAGGTAACATGCCGATCGGGAAACGTGCCGCCAGGCAACAATTCGTGGTGATGGCTTGTCAGTGGTCAACGATCATCAAGGTCTCAGATCAACGTGGCGACCAACCGCCACGGCGACGGTGTTAGCACGGTGACCCACTTCCCCCGGCGACCAGACACTAGGCCAGCTGTCGCCCTGGTTGCAGGAACTCGGTGTCGCTGGGCATCAGGAAGGTTCAGTTTGCGCCGCTGCGCTCGGGGCCACAGCCGGTGGCCGAGACGCGGAGGCAGTTTCTGCTCTCAGACAAAGCGCTGCACCTGGAGGCCTCGCTCGACAAGCAGGTGAGGGCCTCACCTGCAGGCTCACCTGCCTTCTCACCTGCAGGCTCATCTAACTTCTCACCTACAGGCTTATCTGTTTGCTTATCTGCAGGCTCACCTATCTTCTCACCTGCAGGCTTATGTTTGCTTAGCTGCAGCCTCACCTGTCTGATCACCTGCAAGTTCGCCTGTCTGCTCACCTGTAGGCTGTCCGGTTACCTGCAGGCTCATCAGTCTACTCACCTGCAGGCTTAACTGCAGGCTCACCTCTAGGCCCACCTGCAAGCTCACCTGCACGCTCAACAATCTTTTCAACTGCAGGCTCATCTGCAGACTTATCTGTAGGGTCACTTTGGTTCACTTATAGGCTCACCTGAGGTCACCTGTAAGCTCAGCTTGAGGCTCACTTGGTTAATTAACCACAGGCTCATTGACGTTTGGGTGAGTGAGCGAGTGATGGGTGATGAGTAAGTGACATTGAGTGAGCAAGTGAGTTAGTGACGGCTGAGTGACGGCTGAGTGATCTGTGTGCAGATCTATTACCACGGGGAACCAATCAGCGTGAACGTTCGCGTGACCAACTCCTCCTCACGCTCCGTCAAGCGCATCAAGGTGTCCGGTGAGGGGTGCAGGGGACACGCGGGGAGACACGGGGACACGCGGGGAGATACAGGGACACGTGAGAAGACACGGGGACATGCGAGGAGATGTGGAGACATGCGGGATAACATGGAGAGATACGGGGAGACACAGGGACACGCGGGGACATGCGGGAAGAAATGGGGATGTGGGGGCCGACGCCCGCCTCCCCGCTCCCTGTGAGCGGGCGGGGTGCGACGTCCACCCCCTCCACTCCCCCCTCCTCCTCGTCGGCCACCTCTCTCCGGGCCCCCACCGATCGGGTGATCGGCCCCCCCGCGCCAGCGCCCTCTCTGTGGGACATCGCGAATTGGCTGGCTGACCACCACCCGGGGTTATCTCACACACTCCCGCTTACACTGCCTCAAAAGCAAACGCGTTGGCATGCGTGCACGAATTTCCAACACACGCGGGTAACCACGCGTGCTCCTACAGGCGCTTATTTCGCACACACGCGTGCGTAAACATGCGAGAGCGTTGGCGAGCTGGTTTAAAACACCCCTCCCCTGCCCTAATATTCGCGTGGCACGGACGCGCGAGCGTCGGTGACCATCTATGTTTTAATACACGCGCGCGCCTCGCCCACACACTCAAATTACCAACACAACGCCGAGCTTCCACCCACACACACACAAATCACACTGCAACGTTACTCTGTACTAATGTTTATTAACGGTGCGTTTAAAGAAAAACCCTGTATGGCCCGGAGCAAATATTCTACGAGCAGCGCCTAACCTATTACTACCCAATCCCTAAGGTCAGGGGTGGGGAACCTCTTTTCTGCCAAGGGCCATTTGGATATTTATAACATCATTCACGGGCCATACAAAATTATCAACTTAAAAATTATCCTGTTATAGTTGGTCAAACATTTAATTAACTCACCCCTAATGTGATGGCTGGAACACACCAAATGATTTCGCGGTCCTGATACGGCCCGTGGGCCGGACGTTCCCTACCCCTGCCTTAGGTGTACCCCACTCTATAACTCACCTCACAGACGCACTCACGGTGTTGCACGGACGCGGTGGCAGTCGGAGGGACAGCGATCAGAGAGGGCTCTGCCTAGGGTCGACTCGTAGCGGTACTTGCTAGCGTCTCACGGATGCTGCGAGCGGCTGGGAGTCGGTCCGGACGGCTGAACGGCTGGAGAAGTCCCTTTACAGTTTTTCGCTCCCTCCTTTTATGCCCCGGGATTCCGAAAATCCAGGGTTACGTGACGTCATCCTGCGCAGCCAATCGTGCACCTACCTTTCGATTTTCGATCTCCGCGCCCACATTCCTCACCCCCGACTCAACGAGAGGCCACCTGGCTCAACACACATCCGTGGTGTCCACAGGGATTTCCCTCCCACCTCCTCGTCTGCGCTGCCCACGTAATATTTTACCCTGGCCCCTCCCCCATGCTGAGCGTCTCATTGCGGTTAGCCCGGTGAGCTTCTGTGCGCCCATACAAATTTAAGACAATTTAAGGGGGGCCGCAATGTAATATCGCCTGGGGGGGTCGGCCAATCTCCGGCACCGGGAAACCGTGGGACATCCCCGCTAGGGGCCCTTCGAATGAAAACCCATGGTGCCAGACAATCCCCCACCGGGACCCTACGTGTGTGCGTGTGTGCGGCGTGTGTGTGCGTTCAGGGCAGGGTCGCGGTGCTTGCGGAGTAGCTCCGCGGTCGTGGCACCACAGGGACACGCAGGGACACACGATGAGACATGGGAACACGTAGGAAGTCACGGGGACATGCGGGGAGATTTCGGGACATGCGGGACACGTGGGGAGACAGGGACACACGGGAACACGCGGGGAAAGATGGAGAGATGCAGGGACAAGCGTGGACACACGGGGAGCTGTGGGAAAACGCGAGAAAATACGGGGAGAATGGGGAGACGCGGGGACACGTGGGAGAACGGGGGGGGGGGGGACGCACAAAGATGTGTGAGAACACGGAGACGTGTCTCCGTGTCTCCCCAAGCGCGATGGTAATGTCACCACCGCCTAGTGGCGAACGGTGGTTGTTGTCCCCGTGTGTGTGTACCTACCTGTGTGGGGAGTGGTGGCACATTGGGGTAGCACTCTAAACTACGAACCCGGTGACCCGAGTTCGATTCCCACTCACGGGCAATACCAGTGACGATTATCTGAACTTGTTCTGGGCCTCCCCTAGATCGACTCAGCCTTAATTGAGTACAAATATCGCCACTGGGGAGACAAAGGCGGTCGGGCGTGGTGCTGGCCACCCCACCCCCCTTGTGTGCCATGCCGGCATTAATAGGTTATTTCTAACAAAACTTGCCCCAACAGTCCGTTGAGGCTATACGGGGGATCTTTGTCTTTGTGTGAGTGCAGTGCGGCAGTGCGCAGACATCTGTCTGTTCAGCACGGCTCAGTACCGGTGTCCCGTGGCGGCGGAAGAGGCAGAGTGAGTGACACACGGCTGGGCACACCACAGCCACAGCCACGCCGTGGCCATGCGCAGGTGTGGCTGTGGTGTGATTGTGATTGTGCGGCTGTGATTGCAAGGTTGTTGTTGTGGGTTGTGATTTTGCGGCTGTTGTGCGTTTGTGATTGCGAGGTTGTTGTGTGGTTGTTGTGTGGTTGTTGTGTGGTTGTGACAGAGAGACGGTGGGGCCAGGTGCCACGCTGTGCCGGGAGTTCCGCCTGACTCCGCTCCTCGACAACAACCGCGACAAGCGCGGCCTGGCGCTCGACGGACAGCTACGCCATGGCGACACCAACCTCGCCTCCTCCTCCATGTAACCTCTGCACCACAACTGCACTACCACCAGACAACCCAAGCACCACCACCACCACTGCATCACCACCGCACAACCACAGCACCACCACCACACGACCACCACACAACCACAGCACCATCACCGCACCACCACCACCGCAGAACCACAGCACCACCACCACACGACCACCACACAACCACAGCACCACCACCGCACCACCACCACCGCAGAACCACAGCACCACCACCGCACAACCTCGGCCACACAACCTCGTCTCCTCTATATAATCGCACTACTACCACTCCTCCAACTAGTTTTATGTTACCAGGTAAGGCCCACTAAACTGTATAGCTCTTTTTCGGAAGAGAGCAGGCTACCACAAATAATAGCCCAATGAAGTGGCTTATGACGTGTAAATATATAGTAGCAGCCAAATACTCGAAACGCGTGACGTTGATTCTAAATGTGGAGGCAAAAACCGGAGGACCCGGAGAAAAATCACCTCTACCACTGGGAGAGAAAGAGAAACAAACTCCAAACATACTGCAGGCGAGGTACAGTAGTTGACATCTCCTAGCCACCGCGGCGTTGCCAGTGCTGTTGTCCCTCCGTTATCGTCGTGCTGTCGTCGTCCTCCCCACGTGGTGCAGAGTGAAGGAGGGAGTAAGCAAGGAGTTGCTGGGGATCGTCGTCTCGTACCGTGTGAAGGTCAAGGTCGTGGTGGCACGCGGGGGGTAATGCACACACACACGCATACACACAACAACCGCCATTCACCACTAAGTGGCGGTTACATCACCACGCCGTGTGTGCCAGGCCATGTGAAGAAGCCACGTGAAGTGTCGGAAGGCTCGCTGACAGGTCACCGAACAGACAAAGGTGCCATGGGTTGAGTGAGATGACTGGCAGATGCACCACCTGTACCCCCTACTGTGCTAACTTGCTCCGTTGTACCCGCCCGGGACTCTACTCATTGTTGTGAGCATCGCTTTTCTGCCCTCCCTTGTTCAGGCCAACCTGAATGTTTCTCACCTGCGCAGATGATCCATTAGAGGGGTCATCGTTTCACTAGCATAGAGAAGAGAGGGCATGATTGGCCGAGAAGACCCAAAACTTTGTGTGGAGTGACAGACCAGGCAGCTTCCAAATAGTATTACCCAGACAATGAAAAGATAATACCGCCCAACTGATTCGGAGTGAAACCTCTGTCAAACCAGAGCTGTTCATAAGCACACTGCCGAGGTATGGGAAAGTCTCCACTCTCTTCACAATTGCTCCATCACCAATGGGGAGCTGAGGGGGTGGAGTGTTTGATTGCACACAATACCCAGGCAGGTGCTTAGTTTTGGTGGGCTGATGGTAAGACCCCACCTCTTAGTGGCACAGTCAAGATTCGGCAGCAGCACCTCCAACTCTTCCTCTGAGTGAACAGCAGTCACCAGATCATCAGCATACATAACATCAAAACATGGTTGACCAATAGGGAGTCATCCCTTGACCACACATGGGCATTGATGAGCCTCCCATTGTATCTGTACCAGATGGAAATTCCACCGGTACAGCAATGGAAAGCTTCTCGAATTACATGGTCAAAGACGATTTTAAATAGTGTTGGGGTCAAAATAGTGAAAATTGCTCTGACACCCACATAGCTTTACCCGGCCCTTAATGATTGTGAGCAGAGAGTCGGGGACCTCGAAAGCACGAATAACAACCCAGAGCCCAGGCCTATTGATGGTATAATAGGCCTTGATCAGGCCAATAAAGCAGAGATATAGGTCCTATTGGAATTCCCTACACCTCTGCTGTAGCAAACGGACAGAAAAAATGGCATCCATGCAGGACCCCCGCGGGCTGAAACCACACTCACACACACACAACAAAGGTAAATATCTCCCATATAACCTTAACAAACTGTTGGGGCAAGTGCTGTTAGCGAGCACCTATGAAGGCTGGAATGGCACACCAGGGGGTGGATGGCCAGAACCACGCCCGGCCGCCTTTGTCTACCAAGTGGCAATGTTTACACATTGTGCCAGATACTCATTTTAGGCTTAGTCGACCTAGGGGAGGCTCAGGACCAGTTCAGATAAACGTCACTGGAGTTGGCCGTGAGGGGGAATCGAACCCGGTTCGCCAGGCTAATAGCGCAGCGCGCTAACCGCTACACTACCGGTCCCCACAAACACACACACGCGCAGACACACACTCATACACACACTCATACACACACTCATACACACACTCATACACAAACACACAAGCACTGTGTATTTCACAGATGTACTGGACATATGTGAAAAAGAGCTTCATAGCTCATCGGGTTCCTCCAGTCTAAATAAAGATTTTGATTGTGTATATGCATGTAACTAACAAAAAAACTACTTCTTATTTCACCAAAAGGTAAGGCCCACTGAGCTATGCAGGTATTTTTCTGAAGTGACATGGCCACAAATGATAGCTCAACGAAGCGACGTATCATGCATACATTTCTCGCAGCCAATACTGTAAATGCATGTTTCTAAATGTGGAGAGAAAAGCCGGAGGACCCGGACACAAATCCATGCAACCATGGGGAGAGAAACATGCACACTCCAAATATATAGCAGGCATCTGGGTCGGGATCGAACCCACGACCTTCTGTGTACCAGGTGAGGCAACTAACATGTCGCTGTCGTGTGTGTCAGGGATGCCCTGGTGGAACTTCCCTTTACCCTGATGCATCCCAAACCTAAGGAGGAGGAGGGGAGGGGAAAGAAGATCCCAGCTCCCCCGGGTGAGACCAGATTCCCCATTCTTGGGTCTGTGTATGGTGCGTGTGTGTTGTGTGTGTGGTGTGTGTGTGTGGGGAGCGATTCCCACTCACGGCCAACACCAATATTATTCATTATATAGGTTTTTGGGTCAGATCGCGTTATTTATGTGTCGTAACCCTCCACCACCCGACACGGCCAAACAGTAAAAAATGTGTGTGCTATAGCCAATCTGTACATGGAGAACTTTGAAACAAGAGCACTTGCCTCGAGTACATTAAAACCATCCTTTAGGTTTAGATATGTTGATGACACTTTGGTTGCCTGGCCACATGGTAAAGATGCACTTAATGATTTTCTAAATCATCTCAATGCACAAAACCCGGCTATCCAGTTCACCATGGAAATGGAGGTAAATAACAGACTCCCGTTCCTATATATTTTGCTGGGACGTGGTCTTAATGGCAAAATAACACACAGCGTTTACCGAAGCAAACGCACACTGATGCCTATCTGAATGCAGATTCACATCATCACCCAGCTCAGAAATCGTCTCTTATCAAAACACATCGGGCTAAAACAGTGTCAGATGGTGAGAGTCTAGTGAGAGAGATGAAACATGTTAAAGAAGCACTAAGACAGAATGGCTACAATAATGCTGGAATTAACAGAGCACTGAAGGCCAAATCACGAACGCAAAGCAACACTGCTGAAAGCGATAAGATTGTTCAAACAATCAAAATACCATTAATCTCAGGAGTAACTGACAAATTAGGCCGGGTTTTGGGAAAGCAAAATATTAAAGTAAGATTTGGTACAGTGCACAAAATTCTAAAACTGGTATCTGGCACTAAAGACGAATTGCCTAAATTATTAACACAAGGTGTATATCGGATTAATTGTTTATGTGGCAAATGCTATATTGGACAGACAGGACGTGACATCAGCGTAAGATTAAAAGAACCCCAAAGAAACATTAAATTATCTCAAACACAACTGTCGGCAGTGGCAGAGCATGCTTGTCAACAAGGACACTCCATTGATTTTGATAACGTTGAAGTGTTGTGTAAAACTAATTACTGGCCAAGACAAATTAGAGAATCCATTGAAATGAAGAGAAACATAAATAACTTCAATCACTCTGACAACTACAGGCTTAGTGCGGCCTGGAAGCGTATTATTAAATAAATACAATTACCATTTCTTATAAGGGAACCAAACACCAATGAATAACAATTGAGTGATTACCAATCTATATAATTACAATACCCTCCCCCTCTTTGCCTCGAATCACTGCACCAGATTGAATTGAATTAAATGACGTCACGCTGATGCTGCTCTATTTAAGACCGGAAGCAACAGGAGAGCTTCACCATTCTTGCCTGATGAAGCTGATTGTAATTATCAGCGAAACGTCGTACTCAAATTTTTAAATGCTGTTGATTCTCTCTACAGCACACCGGTGGGCTAAAGAAGTGAATTATTTTGTCCTTTGAAAAACGTGACACATGTTTTACTGTTTGGCCATTTCGGGTGGTGGAGGGTTACGACACATTTATAAATAACGCGATCTGACCCAAAAACCTATATTATGACCAATGAAATTTATATGAACCGGTCCTGTGCCTCCCCGAGGTCGACTAAATCTAAAATTAGTACCTGATGGAGTGTGTAAAAATATCGTCACTGGGTAGACAAAGGCCACCCACCCCCTTGGTGTGCCGTTCTTAGGTGCTCGCTAACAGCTCTTCCCCAAAGTCTGTTAAAGCTATACGGGGATCTTTATTGTTGTTGTTGGTGTGTGTGGTGTCTGTGTTTGTGTGTATGCGGTGTGTGTGTGGTGTCTATGTGTGTGCAGAGGAAGTGCCTGTGGAAGTGCCTGTGGAGCCGAATTCAAGGGACCTCATGGAGTTTGACTCTCAGTGAGTTCCACACCACTGACAGACACCATCACTCCCAACCACGTCACTCCCCTACCTCATCAATCCTTCACTTCGCAGTAGTGTTGCGATTAGCGCGCTGCACTACAAACCCAGGGCCCTGCGTTCGATTCCCGTTACCGCCCAACACCGGTGACGATTATCTGAACGGGTCCTGGGCCGCCCCTAGGTCGACTGAGCCTCAAATTAGTACCTGGTGCAGTGTGTACAAACATTCCCACTGGGGAGACAAAGGCGGCCAGGCGTGGTGCTGGCCACCCACCTCCTTATGTGCCGTGTCGGCCTTCATAGGTGCTGTCCGCTAACAGCACTTGCCACAACAGTCTGTTAAGGCTACACGGGGGAACTTTGTCTTTTTTCCGCACAGTGACGATGACTTTGTGTTTGAGGACTTCGCTCGCCAGCGCCTGGTGGGGAACACGGAAGACGGCTACACCTGCTAGGAGCCGACTCGTCTCGTCACGCACATACACGTGTGTGCCGCGACCCTCCATCACATGCGTGTCCTGAGGCCCACCCTCCCCTCCCGCCGCAGTGCTGGCGTTCATTCACGATGCGAGGGCCTCGAGTCACACGCGTGATTATTCACGTGCCAGGCCCCCCGACACGTACACCTCGCCATTGTTGTGAGTGCTGGGGAATGCTCAGTGGTCAAGACTCCCCAAACCGCCATTGGCACTTGGGGGTCACACGCAGCGGGGCGGTCCCCAAGGCGGTCAGCGGCACCCTTGAGCCGGTGGCATCAGGAATCCATTTGTACTGACAGCTGGCGATAACATTGAGATTTTGTGATAAGATTTGGTGATGATGAGATCTGATGATGGGATGAGATCTGGTGATAAGATCTGGTGATGATGAGATGATGAGATCTGATGATGGGATAGACCGAGTGCAGACTGAAAAACGCCGGGTTTGGTCTATGAAAATGGTTGCAACAACTCACCCAATCATTCAAGACCCGCCCACTCACCTACTCACCCACCAAACCCACTCCTTCACCCATTCACGGACTCATTTACTCACAAACCCACTCATTCACTTACCCTCTCATTTACTCATTCACGACTCACCCACCCACTCACCCACTCTTCCAGCTAATGGCTCGCTCTTCCGGCGATGTGACAACAGCACCATCGCTCCCCAGAGCTGTGGTTCTACTCATGATTCGACGCTGCTGCTGCGGTGGAGGACTTGGTGTTCTGCACTCCTCGTACGGCTCCGCGCCTTTCCTTTTTTAGGCCCCGCCCCATCCTATTTAGGCCACACCCCTTCCCTGGGTCGTGGTGTGCGGAGGAGTGGGGCGGCTTCACGACCATGATCAGAAGAGGCGGCACGGTCATAGATGGGCACTCGTTTTGCCACTTTGACCCCACGGGGATTCCGCTCTCCCCCACGGCTGCCGATTGGGCATTCACTTCTGTCATTCATTTCGGTCCGTCTCCTATCAATGCCCCCACGATTCTCCACTGAAATCCCCTCCCATTCCTCTGGCATCCGCGTAATGCAACTGCGCACAAGAGCATCGGCGGTCTAATGCGCTCGACACACTTGGTGGGTCGTCAAGTATATCCACCGCACTCCCACAGTGAGGACTCGCTTAGCGAGACGCAGACCGCTTCGTCTCGCCCACAGCGTATTCAACCACCACTGCGGGTCACAACAACATACCCACCCACTTACACATTCCACACTCACCCACCTCCTCACACATCACCTACTCATAGACCCACGCACACAACCACCCATCCACGCAGCCACCTACTCGCCCACTCAATCAACCACCCACTCACACATCACCTAGCCACTCAACCACCCACCTACTCACATCACCCACTCGACCCACGCACACAACCACCCATCCACTCAGCCACCTACTCGCCCACTCACTCAACCACCCACTCACTCAACCACCCACTCACACATCACCCACCCATATATCATCCACCCACGGACTCGACTACCCACTCACACACCACCCACCCACGGACTCGACTACCCACTCACACATTACCCCATCACTCAACCACCCACTCACACATCACCCACCCACGGATTCGACTACCCACTCACACATTACCCCATCACTCAACCACCCACTCACACATCACCCACTCACGGACTCGACTACCCACTCACACATTACCCCTTCACTCAACCATCCACTCACACATCACCCACCCACGGACTCGACTACCCACTCACACATTACCCCATCACTCAACCACCCACTCACACATCACCCACCCACGGACTCGACTACCCACTCACACATTACCCCATCACTCAACCACCCACTCACACATCACCCACTCACGGACTCGACTACCCACTCACACATTACCCCATCACTCAACCACCCACTCACACATCACCCACCCACGGACTCGACTACCCACTCACACATTACCCCATCACTCAACCACCCACTCACACATCACCCACTCACGGACTCGACTACCCACTCACACATTACCCCTTCACTCAACCATCCACTCACACATCACCCACCCACGGACTCGACTACCCACTCACACATCACCCCTTCACTCAACCATCCACTCACGGACTCGACTACCCACTCACACATTACCCCTTCACTCAACCATCCACCCACGGACTCGACTACCCACTCACACATTACCCCATCACTCAACCACCCACTCACACATCACCCACCCACGGACTCGACTACCCACTCACACATCACCCCTTCACTCAACCATCCACTCACGGACTCGACTACCCACTCACACATCACCCCTTCACTCAACCATCCACTCACGGACTCGACTACCCACTCACACATCACCCCTTCACTCAACCATCCACTCACGGACTCGACTACCCACTCACACATCACCCCTTCACTCAACCATCCACTCACGGACTCGACTACCCACTCACACATCACCCCTTCACTCAACCATCCACTCACGGACTCGACTACCCACTCACACATCACCCCTTCACTCAACCATCCACTCACACGTCACCCACCCACTCGCCACGCTGCAAGTCACTTTGCCTTCTCCCTCTGCTTCTTCCCTCGCTCTGCTCCACCATGGAGTCCCCCTCCTCCCAGCATCATCATCGTCTCTTCCCCCAGAGCTCGTATAACGATAACATTGCTTAAGAAACACGTTCACTGTTATCCGTTTACAACTTTGAAGAGTGCTGTTTGTTGCTGGCCCACTTGATGCTTTGGGCCAGCGCTCGTCCACTGCGCTTCAAGGCCCTCACGTGAACCGAATTCTCCGCCTCGTAAATAAAACTGCGAGCACTTTGGTGTCTGATCGTCGCACGTGGCTGTCGGGGGGGGGGGTGCGATGCCGCTGCCCACTGAGCCTGCGGAGGCGGCGCCCTCGCCGCCGACGGCCTCCTCGCTCTCCAATGACGTCACGGGATCTGCAACCTCCGCCGCGTACTCTGAACATTCAGTCGGCACCGCGGTATTAACCAGGGCGGCCACCGAGCTCAAACCGCTCAGGCGATCGTCGCCTCGCTCAATGCACGACACGCCTGACACTCGTATCGAGTGCGACGTTGTATAAGAGCGCTCTTTGTTGCCGTCCCGTTTGACACGGCGGGTTTTTTGGGGCCTGCGCTGAGCAACTGCGCGAACCGGGATGAGTCACGTGACGCCGCCGAGTCACGTGACGCCGCCGCGCGGGGGCAGTTGGGATCCGCGCGGTTCTCGTGGAGCCGCCGTGCCGGCTCGGCTCGGAACACGCGACCCGAGCCACCAGGACCCGTGCCGAGCCACCAGGACTCGCTCCACCGACCTCTCCTAAGCTGAGGGCATCTGCAGGTCGGGACGAGCAGCGTGAAGTTAGCAGGCGAGGACCGCGCGAACGTGGATGAATGTGGGTGGGTGAGATAAATTAGTGTGTGTGAGGTGAATGTGTGTGTGAGGTGAATGTGTGTGTGAGGTGAATGTGTGTGTGAGGTGAATGTGTGTGTGAGGTGAACGAGTGCGTGAGGTGAATGTGGGTGTGAGGTGAATGTGTGAGGTAAATTGGTGTGTGTGATGTGAATGTGTGTGAGGTGAATGTGTGTGAGGTGAATGTGTGTGAGGTGAATGTGTGTGTGTGTGAGGTGAATGTATGTGTGAGTGAGGGGAATACGTGTGAGGTGGGTGAGCGTGTGAGTTGAGTGTGTGGGTGAGGTGACCGAGTGGGTGAGGTGAATTAGTGTGTGAGTGGGTGAGTGGGTGGGTGGGTGGGTGAAGGGGATACGAGTGTGAGTGAATAGGTGGATGGATGAGGTGGATGAGTGGGTATGTGAGTGAGTGATGTTTGAATCCCCACACCTCTGTTGTAGTGCACAGACAGAAAAAATGGCGTGCATGCACGACCGCCCCGGCCTGAAACCACATTGGGGTTCCGCACGCCTCTTCTCAGCCTGCTGCCTTGCAAGGGGGCAATGTTGATCAGGACCTCCTCCCAGCCTAATACTGAGGAGGGAGATGCTCGGTAGTTGTTATAATCAGCGACCTATATCTCTGCTTCATTAACCTGGTAAATGCATATGACAGGGCTCTGGGTTGTTGTTCATGCTTTCGGGGTCCCTGACTCTCTGCTAACAATCATTAAGGACCTTCATGATGATGGGCAGGCCCGGGTAAAGCTGCATTGCTGGCTATTCCCTGATCATCTTGGGGTGCCACAGGGATGTCTTTTGGATCCTACACTATTTACCATATTTTTCTATCACGTAGTTCTAGAAGCTTTCCGTAGCTGTACCAGAATACTCTCTATCTGGTACAGATACAACGGGAGGCTGATTGATGCCCGGGTGCAGTCAAGGAATGGCTCCCTATTGGTCAACCATGTTACATATGCTGATGATCTGGTGAGTGCTGCTCACTTAGAGGAGTTGCAGGTTCTGCTGTTGAACCTGGAGCATTCCACTAACAGGTGGGGCCTTACCATCAACCCCACCAAATTCCGCTTTGGCAACAGAGGTCTCACTCCGAATCAGTCGAGCAGCATTATCTTTCATGACATGCTTTATGAAAGCTACCTGGTTTGTCGCTCTTCTCGAAAGTTGAGGTTTTCTCGGCCACAATCATGCCCTCCCTTCTCAATGCTTGCGAAGCCTGAACCCCTCTAATGGAATATCTGCGCCAGTTTGAAACATTCAGGTTGGCCTGCCTATGATCCACCCTGGGTTTAACCAGGCTAGATTTGTGTGAGGAGCTCAACAAATCGTTGAAAGATCTGGACACAGTCCCTTCGCTGAACTCCTCCGCAAGGCAATGCTGTTTTGACTGGGTTATGTTGTAGCTGACATGCCCAGCCATCACATGCACAAGCAGCTTTTCTTTGGCCAGATAGAGGGGGCTTAATGGGCGCGACATGGGCTATAGAAGAGATGGGTTGATGCGGTACATGAAGATGTGGAGTTCAGTGGATTTGCCCATGACTGGTATCAGCGGTGTCAAGATCGGCCTCTGTGGAGGAGGCTCGTGAAGTACGTTGCTGGGAAGTTGGAGGCATTTGCCCTCGAACAACAACAGAGGGCAGAGGAGCGCTCGTAACAACGAGCTGGGCAATTAAGATGCAGCAGTTGGGCAGAGTAAGGAGCACAGGTGGTGCATCTGCCAGTCATCTCAGTCAACCCATGGTACTGGGGTTTGTCCTATGACCTTCCAGCAAGCCTTCGACACCTCATATGGCTTCAAAGTGCACCTAGCCTGGCACAAGCACCGTGATGACGTTACCACCGCTTATTGGCAAATTGCAGCAGTTGTTGAATGGGTGGGTTCATTGTGAGTGAGGTGAGGTGGACAGAAGTGGGTAAGTGTGGGTGACTGATTGAGTAGGTGATTTGATGAGTGGTTCTTTGAATGAATGAGCTGGTGAAGGAGCGTGTCCTCTTCCCCAGGGTCCCCTGGGCCCGCTGAGGAGGGGGAGTCGCTGGTGCTGCTGGGAGTGATGTCGCTGGTGGAGCGGCAGTGGAGGATATGCTGACAGGAGATGGAGCGAGATCGCGTGCAGCTACACCGGCTGCAGGTCCGTGAAATGGATGCCAAGTCGCCTCTGACACCATCGATGAGGGTCGATCGCTGGAGCAGACTGCAGTGCAGAGAATCGACACCGCACCTGCGGCGTGACGAGGCCCGGGCGGTCATGCGGTGGCCACTTGCTGTGTGGGGGATGGGGTTCGCAGTGCGAGGCTCATGGCCGCTGGTGAATCCTCTCGCAGCAGTGCATCATTCAGCCGTATCTGTCAACCTGCAGCTAGAGTGACGGATACAACCCGCTGCTCCCCTATACACTGCGTCTGCTATTCTGCAGCCAGTCTCTTCTTCAAGTGGATCTGTGAACTTGGTTGCTTTGCTTGGCATAAAATCAGAGTGGATGGATGGGGCATAACCCTGGGGAGTTCCTTGTCCAATATTTGCTACCAGATGTTGCTATGGGATGGCAGCAGCAGCAGTAGCATTAGACTGTCGTGGTTGTTTGGTGCACTGTGCTACAAAACTGCTGACCCGAGTTCAATTCCTGGTCATGGCCAACATCGGTGACGAATATCTTAACCAGTTTAGGCTGACTTAGCATCAAATGAGTACCTGGTGCAGTGTGTAAACATCAGCACTTGAGGAGATAAAGGCAGCTAATCATGTTGCTAGCCACACACCCCCACATGTGTTGTGTTGGCCTTCGTAGGTGCTCACTAACAGTACTTGCCTCAACAATATGTTAAGGCTATTAGGGGTATGTTTATATACGAAAGATCTGGACACTGTCCCATCAGTGAAATTTGATAGTCGATGCAGCGTTGGCTGGATCACGTAGGCCATGTACCCAGCCACTGCATGCCAAAACAGCTTCTGTTTGGCCAGATAGATGGGGCTAAACAGTCACGGCATGGGCAAGAGAGGAGATGGACTGATGCGGTACAGGAGGATGTGGAGCTGAGTGGTACCAGCGGTGTCATGATCAATCTCTGGAGGAGGCTCATGAAGGATGCTACTGGACAGTTGGAAGCAGTCTCCCTCCAGCAACAGCGGAGGGCAGATGAGTGACGCTCACAGCAATGAGTGGCGTGCTGGGCGGCTAAAACGCAGCAAGTTGGCACAGTAGGGGGCACAGATGATTCATCTGCCAATCATCTGAGCCAACCCATAGAACCTGGGTCTGCTCCGTGACCTGCTAGTAGTGAGAGCCTTTAACACTTCACGTGGCGGCCTCAAAGTGCAGCTAGCCTGGCACTTGCCGCTGTGGTCACGTGTGTGTGCGGGTGTGCAGGAGTGGTAGTGTAGCAGTTGGCACGCTGCGCTATGAACCCGGGACCTAAGTTCGATTCCCGTTCATGGCCAACACCAGCAACAATTGTTTTAACCGGTCTTATCTACTGTAGGTGTTTGTGTAGGTATGCAAGAGTGTGTGTGTTTCGGCGTGTGTTTTGGCGTGTGTATGCCTTGGTGTGTATCTTTATTGGTGTGTGCATGTCTTGGCATGTGTATGCCCTGGGTTTGTTGGTCTAGGTGTGTGTGTGTGTTGGTCTTGGTATTTTGTATCATCAGACACTTCACCCCCACAATTCCCAATTGGTGATGGGGCAGTTGTGGATAGTTTCCCATACCTGGGAAGTGTGCTCATGACCGGCTCCGGTTTGACAGCAGAGGTCTCACTCTGAATTAGTCAAGCGGAATTATCTTTTCATGGGTTGCATAATGCTGTGTGGAAGCTACCTGGTTTGTCGCTCTTCTCGAAAGTTGAAGTCTTCTCGGCCACAGTCATGCCCTCCCTTCTTTACGCTTGCGAAACGTGAACCCACCTAACGGAACATCTTCGCCGGTCATAAATATTTAGGCTGGCCTGCCTATGATCGATCCTGGGTTTAACCAGGCTGGATTGTGTGAGGAGCTCACAAATCCTTGAAAGATCTGGACAAAGTCCCATCACTATGAGAGATTCGTTCATGAGGCCATCCACATATACAAACACAGAGACAATTTCAACCGAGAAGATGGATTCTGGCTCGGCAATCATTGGAAATGACGTGATAAACCATTTCGGGTCTTGATTGATTGTGTTCACATTCACGGTGACTTTCAGACCGCAGTCCATTCGCTGCAAGTCTCCTGACACCACTCTCCCATTACATATTTCTTTGCTTCCTCAAATAACCCTACCATTAAAATTATAGACTGATCATTTCTTTGTCAGTGGGCAAACGTACAAAATCAGCAGGGGATCAAATACTTTTTTCCCTCACTGTATATAGTATCGTAATTGTATAGTGAATATACAGCAGTGTGGTATACAGCAGGGTTTGTAGAATAATACATAGTGTAATATTACAGTGTATACTCTAAGGTATAGCGTAGTGTATAGTAACGCAGTGTATAATTACATTTTGGGGTTTATGGCAGTGTATAGTACGGGGTATAGTCGTGTGATGTAGAAAAAAAGTTTAGTTGGAGACATATTTTTTGCGACATAGAAGTGTAATGTATAATGACTTATTGTTAGTAGCTCAGCTTATTGGAGAGTATATTGAGTACATTGATTATATTGATGTAGTTTATACTTAGTTTTTTCACATCGGTTTATTGTATGGTAGTAGGGTAGGAGCAGTTCTTTAGCGTCAATATGCTAAATTACTCTGTTGATATGTAAACTCAGCTTATTGGAGAGTATATTGATTATATTGATGTAGTTTATATTTTAGTTTTTATCGGTTCACTATATGGTAGTCATTTTATAGTGTAGTGTATACCCAGTTACTTAATGTTAATAGCCCAGCTTATTGGAGAGTATATTGAGTACATTGATTATATTGATGTAAATTTCGATTTAAAGCTTTCGTGACTGCAGGGATTCATCTTCTTGGTTCTTTCGGTAAAGTCACGTAGAAGGGAAATAATAAAATAATAAAAATAAAGCATAATAAAATAATTCTCACGACGTTTCGGCTACAACGCAAGCAGCCGTCCTCAGGTGAAGAATGAAACACAACCAAGCTTGGAGCGTATATTTAGGCTGGGTTGGAGGGGGAAGAAGAGCGCCTTGACAACAGAATTTGCATATCAAGAGGAATTTAGCATATTTATGAGAAATGCGTAGGAGGTGGGCGGGGGGTTTCAAAGTCATATTATGCCCGTGCATTATGCAGGATTAGCAGCATCAAAGGGAGGGGATAGGGGGTAGCATTAACAAAGGGAAGGAATGTTAATAGTATGTAGCTGCAGTTACTAAACCACCACATAAACAACTAAAGTATAAACTACATAGTATCATCAGTATACTAAATATACTCTCCAATAAGCTGAGCTACTAACAGTAAGTAATACATTACAATTCTATGTCGCAAAAAATATAATATGCTTCCAGCTGAACTTTTTTCTCTTACATCACACGGGTCTACCCCGTACTATATACTACCATAGACAAACCCAACATTAAATTATATACTGTATTACTATACGCACTCTATACCTTCGACTATAATATTACCCTAAGTATTATTCTACCCACTTTACTGTATACCACACTGCTGTATATTCACTATACAATTACAATACTGTATATTACTTTATACACCACATCAAACACTACAATTTTATACTATTTATACAATCTGCTATACACTATACCATTGACCGTCGCGTGAAAGATACTAAGAGGAAGCAACGAAACATGTCAATGGGAGAGCGGTGAAAGGAGACCCGCAGCGGAGCAAATAATCCATTCCCTGTGGAGAACACAAGATACACAGTCAATGCCAGTGAGTGGACTGCGGTCTGAAAGTCACCGTAAACGTGAACACAATCAGTTAAGATCCGAAATGGTTTATTACGTCCTTCCAATGATTGCTGAGCCAGAATCCATCTTCTCGGTTGAAATTGTCTCTGTGTTTGTATATGTGGATCGCCTCATGAACGAATCTCTCATGGTAGCCAGATGGCTTGCAGAGAACCTCTGTCTTGGAGAAGTCAATGTCATGTGAGCCCACTGAAGTGTAACAGTGATCTGCCACGGCTGAGGTGTTTGTCCTACCGTGTTTCAGGTCTGCTTTATGTTCACGGATGCGGTCCGAGACATGTCGTTTGGTTTCTCCAATGTAACTGCTACCACAGAGGAAACTTAGTTTGTAGACGCCAGGGTACTGTATGTCTGGAACCACATCTTTTACAGACGGGACCAGATCACGGATTTTATGTACTGTGTTGAATCGGACCTGGATCTTGTGTTTAATCAGGATTTTGGAGATCTGTTTTGTGACCCCAGCAATGTAGGGTAAGGTGATGGTTTTGAAAGGCTCCTCAACAGGATCCTTCTTGATGGTTGGAGTGATGGCTTTGCGGATTGTGTAGTCGGAGTAACCATTAGCCTTACGAGCTTGGCGTACGTGTTTGAGTTCACTGGCAATGTGTTCTGGTCGGAGATGCATTGGGCTCCATGGTATAGAGTCTTGATGAGGGAGTTCTTCTGGGATGGATGGTGGTGGGAATCCGGTTTAAGGTAAGCATCTGTATGGGTGGCTTTCCTGTAGACAGAATGGCTCATTGAACCATCAGGTCTCCTTTTAATTAGGATATCCAAAAAGGGTAGATTGCCATATTTTTCAACTTCCATGGTGAATCTGATGGCTGGGTGTATGGAATTGATGTGGTCGAAATTGTAATGTTTAATGCAATGTATAAGGTAATATACAGTATTGTAATTGTATAGTGAATATACAGCAGTGTGGTATACAGTAGGGTGGGTAGAATAATACTCAAGGTAATATTTAAGTCGAAGGTATAGAGTGTGTATAGTAATACAGTATATAATTTAATGTTGGGTTTTTCTGGTAGTATATAGTGCGGGGTATAGTCGTGTGATGTCCAAAAAAAGTTAAGTTGAAGACATTATATTTTTTGCAACATAGAATTGTAATGTATTACTTACTGTTAGTAGATCAGCTTATTGGAGAGTATATTTAGTATACTGATGATACTATGTAGTTTATACTTTAGTTTTTTACGTGGTGGTTTAGTAACTGCAGCTATACTATTAACATTCCTTCCCTTTGTTAATGCTACCCCCTATCCCCTCCCTTTGATGCTGCTAATCCTGCATAATGCACGGGCATAATATGACTTTGAAACCCCCCGTCCACCTCCTACGCATTTCCCATAAATATGCTAAATTCCTCTTGATATGCAAATTCTGTTGTCAAGGCGCTCTTCTTCGTCCTCCGACCCAGCTTAAATATATGCTCCAAGCTTGGTGGTGTTTCATTCTTCACCTGAGGACGGCTGCTTGCGTTGTAGCCGAAACGTTGTGAGAATTATTTTCTAATGTTTTATTTGTGTTATTTAATTATTTTATTATTTCTCTTCTACGTGACTTTACCTAAAAAACCAAGAAAATATATTGATTTAGTTTATACTTAGTTTTTTTCACATTGGTTTATTGTATGATAGTAGGGTAGAAGCAGTTCTTTAACGTCAATATGCTAAATTCCTCTGTTGATATGTAAACTCCTTTGTCAAGGCGCTCTGCTCCTCCCACCTAGCTTAAAATACGTTGCCAAGCTTAGCAGTGTTCATTAGGATGCTGTCTTTCCGACAGCTCTGTTCTTCACCTGAGGACGGCTGTTTGTGTTGTGGCCGAAACGTCGTGATGATTTAATGATGTTTTATGATTTATTATTTTATTATTTACATTCTACGTGACTTTACCGAAAGATCCAAGAATATAAAAAATCCCATCAGTGAGCTCCTCCGACAGGCAAGGCTGTGTTGGCTGGGTCATGTCGCCCGCATGCCCAGCCACTGCATGCATGAACAGTTTTTGTTCGGCCAGAGAGAGGGGGCTAAATAGGCGTGCATGGGCTAGAAAAGAGATGGAGTGATGTGGTACAAGAGGATGTGGAGCTGAGTGGTATTGCCGATGACTGGTACCAGCAGTGTCAAGATCGGAATCTGTGGAGGAGGCTACTGGCCAGTTGGAGGCAGTCACCCTCCAATAACAACGGAGGGCAGGGGAGTGAAACAACAACGAGCTGAGCGCCGGGTGGCTAAAGCACAGCAAGTTGGCACAGTAGGGAGCACAGGTGGTGCATCGGCCAGTCATCTCAGTCAGTAGAACCGTGGCACTTGGGTCTGCCCCATGACCTTCCAGCGGGTATTCGACACTGCACGTGGCCTCAACATGCACATAGCCTGGCACAAATGCCGTGGTGACATCACCGCCTCTTAGTGGCGAATGACTGTTGTTGTGTTGGTCTAGGTGTGTGTGTGTAGGTATGCAGGTTCACGTCTGCAAGTATGCGTGGCATGTAGGTCACTCAGAAGGCGAGGTCTTGCAGTCTGTATTTTGTACAGACACACATCTCATACTGGTATGTGAATTTTATATGTATGTGTGTGTGGGGATCGGTAGTACAGCGGTTAGCGAGCTATGCTATGCACCCGACGACCTGAGTACGATTCCCACTCGTGGCCAACACAAATGACGATTATCTAATGTCCCTGGGGCTGCCCCTAGGTCGACTCGGCCTCAAATAAGCACCCACGCCCTCGTGCGCCATGTCAGCCTTCGTAGGTTGCTGCTACTCGCCAATGGCAACTCATCCTGACAGTCTGCTAAGGTTACACACGTGGGGGGGGGGGTCTTTGCAGGAGGCACTGGAGAGGGGGAGCTCGTTGGTGGGCCGCGAAAGTGAGCGGCATGCTGAGTGCGAGCGGCGCCTTCTCTGCTCCTGCGCCACCTCCTTGCTGGCCGCGCGCCCACGCCTCCTTCGCGCCGAAGGGCGCCTCCTGGAGCTTGTGGCGGCCACCACGCACGCCCGCTACCGGGCCGAGGAGGCGCGGGAACATGCGGACGAGTGAGGGCGTGGGGAATGCGTTACACAGGGATGGGTGCGGGGGGGGGTTTGATCGGCGTTAAAGAATAGTGGGGCATGTTGGAGTTAAAGCCAGGGTCAGGTTCAGGGTTCGGGCCTCTCTCAGACAAACAACGAATCTCACACCAGACATTGGGTGTTTCTTTTACAGATGTTTTCAGCCATTTAATAGTGAGTTGTGTTTTAGAATTCAAATGGGAGAAAACCCACGCCTATCACCAGGAGCCAACGCCATCAACCGTATGGTTGGTGATTAGTCCACTTGCCATATTGTCCTTCTGGCAGAGCTAGGATATTCCTCCTCCTGGATCCCCACACAGGAAGGGAGTTTCACAACATCCACGTGCGATCCGCCAATTCGCTCTGCTGCTGCCTGCACCAGCACTGGATCGCAGGCCTCGTGCCGCGTAGCCCCCACCACCACCGTCCGGCTTAAGCGATGATTTCGCCGTCGGTTAGGGTTTCACCAGCACCCCCCAAAAGTCGGAGCGATCCTGTCCTAGACGGACGTTGAGGCGGTGGTTCACAGCCATGAGTTGGTGGTGGAAATTCTCCTTTACTATGGCAGGGATGAGTCTATACACAGGACAACCACTCCATAAGAGGTTTTTGGGTTAGATCGATAAATGTGTTGTTAAACCTGTCACCACCCGACATAGCCAATTTGTAAGGTTGGCTAAGTAAACAAAACAAATGCCAATGAGTTACTAGTTCAGTACACAGGTGTGTTGGAGAGTAAAAATGTAAGGGTGCTAATTTTATTCACCCTGGAGGAGTGATGGGCTTTACCTGGTAACATAAAAACTTTAGTGTTATTTGTATATTTTTAAAGTGGTTTGTTTACTTTTCCTATAGTTTGCACTCCTATCGTGTGTTTGCACTGTTTGTTGGTGTAACGTTCTGACCTCGTTCCCCTCCAGTATAAATATGAATTCCAATTCTGATCTCACAACCTTGTGACAGCAAGCCACTCGCTTTGCCACTCGGGGCCCCAACTCTACCAGCGGCATGGGGTCTCTAACCACTGCCACTGCTCTGCTCCTTTCCCGTGATCCGATGACACCTCCTCCACCTCGACCTCGCGCTGGGCAGGCTGGTGGCATCTCACGCGCGCTCATGGGCCAGGCTCGGGGGTGGCAGCGAAAGGGAGCCGGCACCCCCCGCAAACCCCACCCTGGCTGCCGCCGCCGCCGCCCAGCGCTGGCGCAACCTCGTTGCTCTGCGCGACGAGCGCCTCTCGAGTCTGCCTGGCGCCAGTCTCGCTGACTGGCACGCCGGGCCGCGGCGCGCACAGGTGCGGCCGCTCGCTCACTCTCTTGTTCGCTGGTTACCCTCACAGGACACACATGAAATAGATTTGGGGCCCTATCTGCTGAATAAAAATAAAAATTTACCTAATGGACTTACTAATTAATTGACTCACCGACTGTCTAATTGAGTTACTGTGGAACTAACTGACTGAATGACCGACCACCCACTTGACTGACTCACTATGTCCTACTCATCAAGTGACTGGCCACCTTGACAGTGAACCACCTCGTTTACTAAAGACCCGACTACCTGACTGACTGCCAGGCCGACTGATTCACTGACTGACCATCCAAGTGACTAACCAGCACATTCACTAAGTGACTGACTTTCTGCCTGCCAATTCGCCGACCGATTCTTAATGCCCGACCGGCTAACCAGCGGGGGAGCGCCTGCGGGGTACTGAGCGTGTCTGCGGGATGCCGCAGGCGGAGATGGAGGCGCTGCGCTTGGAGCTGCTGCATCTGAAGCAGGAGGAGGCAGCAAAGTCCACGGAGCTTGAGGAGCAGAGTCGGGCGCTAACGCACGCCCGCAGGGGGCTGGAGGTGTGTGTGGGGTTGTGCTGGGGGTTGTGGTGGGGGTTGTGTGGGATGGAGGGGTGTTCCAGGGTTCATAATGTTTATACGTTCAACTTCTTTCGCACCATATAGCAAACCGTGCTAATTGGAGGTCTGGGGCAAGGACAACAAACAAAACACAAACAGCAGTTTTAAATAAATTAGTTGAAAATCTATATTTAAAGTGCGTAGCTCTCGTGGCTTCCTAATATCGGGACGAAGAGCGTTCCAGACGATTGCAGAAGCGCATCTAAAAGTGTGCGATGCGGTGACTATCTTTGTTTGATGACCAATCAAAAGCCACTTCTGCGAGGATGACTAGAGTTTAAGTGACGGTTTATGTTCCTTGACGAGATCGGCAAGGTATTGTGGTTATTTTGTGGAAAACACTGTGTGTAATGAGTGCAACCTTATAATGTATAAATAATGAGTCGGAGACACCAATCCTAGGTTCAAGCCCTGGATCTATCTCAGTGGGTTCATAATGACCGTGCCAGAGATCCTGGGTTCAAGCCCTGGATCTCTCATAAGAGCCCAGGCCTGGGCCTGCTAGTGATGATAGAGCAGCCGACAGGCACCACTGTCTTGGTAGCCACCTTGATGCCGTCTATATGACTGATTTGATTTGATGCCTGCAGCGATCGCCCTGTGTGCCGTGTCCCCCCGGTGTGTAGCTGTGTGTGGTTGTGTGGCTGTGTGTCTGCAAAGTTTGGTCATACATGCTATGTTTTTCGTTTCTTTTTAAATTAGAATCACAGTTCCTATGATCACTGTTACATTGTTTTTATAGCTTTGATTTCGAAAACATATGGCTTAGCCATGTTTGTTTGTTGAAGTACAGAGTTAGCCTGATAAGTTTAATCCAAATTGTCTTATGGTTGTTATTGTTTGACGTGCATCCCATTGGGATTTTTGCACACAGCGTTAATATATGGTGTTTTTTTCTGGAATACTGCTGTTTTTTCCTGGATTTTTCTGTTGCGCATAGTCACTTTAAGACAGTGATGTGCGGTGAGGTCAATGGTTGGGGAGGCACTGGTGAGTATCAGAGACAGATTTACACAGGTATGAATCCGATAGAGGTAGCTTAAATTCACCATTCAATTGGCAGGATGCACAATGACTATTGGTTAGGCGGCCGTATGTTTCATATTTAATATCAGCATTCTTTACAACACACGCATACAGGTAAGTTACGTATTCGATTCACGTTTTATAGGCGAATGCAGTTCCACTTTTCATACTCATTCAATACAAATGATAATATATATTGCATGGTCTTACCTTTACTTGTAAATGAAGTCCATTTGCCTATCCTGGACAAATATGTCAGTGACTTTGTTGTAGAAGTCCTCTTTATTCTTTTAGTTTTAAAAGTCTTTCTGTCTCAATAGAGATGATTGCCAGGGATGAAAGTTGTCCTTGGTAAGTCCGATTCCGACTGTATGTTTTGAGTCGTTTCAAAGTAGAGAACGACCTTTCAACGGACGCTGTTGAAGCTAGTATAGTGAGCACCACCAGCTGGAGTAACTTTGTCGCTTCGGGAACTGTCTGCATCAGATCATTCTGGGCCAAAAAGCTGAGGAGCTGTCCGGGTGATTTGCATTCGTTCCTCACCATTTGTGAACTATACAATCCGATAAGGTCAGCCTTTAGTCTAACAAAGTCAAAGTACCTTGCATATTTTGATAGGCTGTGCAGTTTGGTGTCATCGAAATGTTGTGACATTTCATAAAATTTCGTGCAATTAAACAAACCAAAGAAAGTTAGCTTACCGAAATGATCAAACCTAGCTTTCATTTCAACACTGATATTGTCCAGAATGTTATAAAACATTATTTTCCTCTCATCTCTGATCGGCTGTTTACTTCGGGCATTGTCTGTCAGGCCAAGTGTGACGCATTTCTACTTGAATCGATCATAGAAACTGTCGAACTCTTGTCTCTGGCTTTCCGCAACTTCTAATGTGTCACGGAATGGCGCACAGCAGAATCCAATGTCCATTACTTTATTCTGCAGCACACGAAAGAGTGCTTCAGTTTCATTGAATATGCCCTCATATGCCATTATGAAGAAGCAGCTTGATGCTTTTAACAGCCAGAGATCATATCCGGCGGCCATCATCAGGGTGTCATTGTCCCAACCATCGGGATTTTCGCTCATAATCAGGAACACAGCACGCAGATCAGATTGGTACATGCTGATCGTCTGAACTAGTCTAGAATTTGAGCTCCATCTCGTGGGCGCTGCTCTTGGTAAACGTCGCTTCACAGCATTGTCCAGTAGGTGGGTGCGCTTGGTCGAATTATTGAAAAATGTCGCAAGTCCCTCAACTGTTTTAAAAAACTTTTACACTCAAGCATATATTTTGCTGAATGCGAAAGCACCAGCTTCAATTTGTGTGCATATCAATGAGAAAACGTGGCTTCAGGTACCTTTTCTTTAATCTTGGCCTGCACCCCATTAAGATCTGATGCCATCACAGATGCTCCGTCATAAGTCTGAGCTATCAGCTTTTCAACGCAATTGTATTTCCCCAACACTCCCAAAACATATTCAGCAATAGCCGGTGCTTGTCTGCCATCACTGACATCATCAAATCCCAAGAACGCCTCTCTCACCTCACAAATCATCTCACAAATCACCTCACTTTTAGCCACATAACGCAAAATTACAGAGACCTGGGCTTTGTTTGTGACATCCGTTGTCTCGTCTACTTCGACTGCAACAAATGGGGCTGCATTAATCTCCTCTTTGATATCATTTCTAATTACATCACCGACTGCTTCGATTAAATCGTTCTGTATTCTGTTTGATAAGCCAGAAAACACAGTGGATGTCTCCAAATGTCTAGCTAACTTTTCATCTTTCTCAGCAAAAGCATGTAATAGCTCCACATAGTTGCCACAATTAGAAGAGCTTGAACTCTCATCATTACCACAAAATGCTAAGTCCTGTTTGGCTAGGAAGCAGGTCGCATTAATAAGGTCTTTTAAAACCTCACGGTTTTCCTTTATCTTAGCATTGTGGATGCTGATATTTAATCTCCGCTGTTCATTTAAAGCCAGATCTATCCTTGAAGATCCAAAGGTTTTTAAAGCAATTTGGCTTTGAATGTGAGTTGTCGATTTTTCATGTTTGTTGTGGCTCCTTGGTAGATTTTTCAACATACATACAGACATAGGTGCTTGTGAAAAGCACTTGCCCCAGCAGTCTGTTGAGGCTCTATGGGGGATCCTTGTCTTTGTGTGTATGGCTGTGTGCAGGTGGAGCACAAGCGTTGTGATGCGGTGTTACGACGTCTGCGTGGGCAGCTGGCCGAGGCTCGGTCCCAGCGGGGTCAGCGCCCACTGTGACCCACAGGCCTACTGTGACCCTACACAATCTCACTGTGACCCCACTGTGACCCCACACAACCCAACTGTGACCCCACATTACCTCACTGTGACTCCAAATGACTCCACTGTGACCGCACACAATCCGACTGACCCCACACGACCCCACTGTGACCCCACTGCGACCCTACACGACCCTACCGTGACTCCACACGACCCCACCGTGACTCCACACGACCCCACTTTGACCCCACATGACCTCACTGTGATGACCCCACTGTGACCCCAATCGACCTCACTGTGACCCCACACAACCCCACTGTGACCCCACACGACCCCACTGTGACCCCACACGACCCCACTGTGACCCCACACAACCCCACCGTGACCCCACACAACCCCACCGTGACCCCACACAACCCCACTGTGACCCCACACGACCCCACTGTGACCCCACACAACCCCACTTTGACCCCACATGACTTCACTGTGATGACCTCACTGTGACTCCAATCGACCTCATCGTGACCCCACACAACCCCACTGTGACCCCACATAACCCGACTGTGACCCCACACCACCCCACTGTGACCCCACAGGACCCCTGACCCCACATGTCCCCACTGACCCGACAACCCCACTGTGACCTCAAGCCTAAAGATGACCCCGGCTATGAATTTGACCCCTGGGGTCGTGTTTAACGGCAATAGAAGGGCTGGATATGGGGTGAGGTGGTGGTGCGGTGGCTTTGAGATGTTAATTACCTCGCCTGGTATACAGGAGATGGTTGTTTCAATCCTGACCTTTGACGCCTGCTGTATATTTGGAGTTTGCGTCTCTCTCCTCGTGGTTGCATGGATTTTTCTCTGGGTCCTCCGATTTTTCCCTCCACATTTAGAATAAAAATAGGTTTAGAGTATTTGGTTGCTATACATTTCCACATAATACGCCACTTTCGCTTAGCTATCATTTGTGGGCAGGTCGCTCCTGAAAAAGAGTTGTCGAGCTTAGTGGGCCTTCCCTGCTAAAATAAAAAATAGTTTAGTTTTGATTAAGCAGTGGTGGTGGTGGTTCGGAGGAAGTGGTGATGAGATAAGAGTTGGTGGGGAGGTAAAGATGATGATGTGGTGGTGGGGATGACAATAATTATGGGGTAGTGGAGATGGTGAGGAAGTGGTGGTAAGATTAAGGTGGGGGTGAGGATGATGTGGCGGTGGTGAGGTGATGGCGAGGAGGGGTACAGTGGGTTGCCTTGGCGAGAGCAGAGGGCTTGTGAGCAATCGAGAGGGAGCTGGGTTAAGAGCGAGCGAGTGAGCGGGCGGTCTGAATAGCGGGTCAGCAAGCCATGTCTCGTAGCTACTGTCGCCCGGCGTGGCGGATGCTCGCACCACGTGCCCCACGTTTAGTTGACCCGCTTTGTTTTGTCTCATTTGAGATTCGTTGCTGCTCGTCTGAGACTGGCCTGGACCCTGACCCATGGCTCTAACCCTAACATGAGCCGAAACTCTTAACGCTGATTCAACCCCTAACAGCCATCCTACCACTTGAACTAACCCCAACCATGACCATGAAGGATGAAGAACCCTTGACCCTAAACGGAGCGCTCTCCCTGTTGCTCGCCGCTCTTCTTCCTGCTTATTGTCTGGGATCCTGCTCTTCCTCCCCCTCGTCGTCCTCGTCGTCCCTCCTCCCCCACCACCCCCTCCTCCCTCCGTCATCGTCGTCAATTGGCTTCTCATTAATTTCCCGCTTGCCGCTCGCGCGGTCCCCGTCGTCGCCGCTTGTTGCCCGCGCAGGAGCCCGGTGCGACCTCGTCAGGGCCCCGCTTGGAACCGTCGCTCGCTCGTTAGTTAGCCTGCGCCACCCTCGTTTGCTGTCATGGTTGCGCACGTGAGGTTTTAATAAACGCGCTGTGCTTGGTCCCCGTGAAGTGCGTTCCTTCGTACAAAACCCGGTTCTGTCGTTTCTGCAATTTAATTCCAGCTGCTCCCTTCCGCCGCTCGTGTGGACACCTCCGATCTAAAATCAGCGTCGCCTGCATCCCGTCACGGGACATGGTGGTCATTCGCAGAGAGCAGCGCCCTGTGACTGAGAACGATCTCGCAGATGCAGATACAGCGGAACTTCTTCCGATATCCCTTGTGGTGACCTCTCAGACCTTGATTGCTCACCGCCACTCAGGCTGAGGCTGCTGGGCGCCAGCAGCAGCAGCGGCAGCAGCAGCAAGAGGCCCCTTCTGGAAGCAGACGTCGCTCTGGAGGAAAAGTGGCGGTACCGACGGTGGGCGGCACAGGCCGTCAAGTGGAGGAGGAGCGCCATTGACGTTCCCCCCCACAACGGCTGATCCTCCTGGCCGCTTGGTGCAATTTTTACCCATGCGATCTCTACCCGTGTGGTCTCTATGTCTGCTTGTGCTGCTGTCGAGATGCTCGGCTGCATGCGTGGAACTTGAAACCGATATTTTGTCGATTCTCCGAGATGGAATTGAGCCAACCTTTTAGTTATAAAATCCAGAGCGATTTCCTGCTCAAGGCAAGGCCCAATGAGCTGTATGGTTCTTTTTCAGAAGCGACCTTGGCCAAAAGTGATAGCTCAAAGGAGTGGGTTATGTGGAAATTTCTCGCAGCCAAATGCTCTAAATGCATGTTAATGCTTGCTGCATATTTGGAGTTTGCGTGTCTCCCCGTGGTTATGTGGATTTTTCTCCGGGTCCTCCGGTTTTTCCCTCCACATTTAGAATAGATAATTTCCATTATTTTGCTGCTATAAATGTCGACATGATAAGCTACTTTGCTGAGCTATCGTTTGTGGCCAGGTCGCTCCTGAAAAATAAGTGCATACCTCCGTGGGCTCTGCCTAGTACGATGTGGTTGGTTTAGTTGTACTTGTATGTTTTTGGATGATTTTTGTTTACCTTCCTTGTACTTTGCACTACTATCGTGTTTTTATATTTGTTGTTGTAACTTTTTACCCGTCCCTACTGGACATTTTATGAAAAACAGCTTTGTAGCTCACCGGATTCCTCCAGTATATATATTCTGATTCTCTTATCGTAACTGTGCAGTTTCGATGACAATCATAGCACCAGATCTCATCTTCATCTCCAGATCTCATCTCCAGATCTCATCATTTCCAGATTTCATCTACATCTTATCATCTCCAGATCTTATCTCCATTTCATCATTTCTAGATCTCATCTTCGCCTCAATTTCCAGATCTCATCTTCATCTCATCATCTCCAGATTATGAAATCTCGCGACAAATCACTCCCCGTCACCCGAACTAAGAATAATGCCAAATTCCAGACAGTCCGGGTCAAACACGGACATGTGGCAGCCAGCCCCAGGTCAATACCGTGCGGTGTTTGCGACACTTTTTTACTTTGGCGAACGTAAGCTGCTGCTGAGTTGGCGTTAGTTGCATTGTTGCCCTGGGGCAGGCTGCAACAATCGCCCGGTGCTGAGGCGGTTGAACGCACGTGACGGCCATCGGTGGCCAGGCGTGCATGTCCAGCGGACAGCATTGGGTGACCGGGCTGGCACCATTAACTCGCTTGCTCTTGATGAGCCCAGTTTTACTACTACCCATTTCTATGATGCTGTGGGTCTCTATGGATCTCTTGTTGGCATCGGTACAATCTACAGATCTATACGTGCCCCCAGGTCACGATGTCATCAGGTCATTGGGTAATAACACGTCCAGGTGACCAATATGTGCACGGGTCACCAGTATGTGCACGGGTCACCAGGTTGTGCACGGGTCACCAGGTTGTGCACAGGTCACCAGGTCACCAGTATGTGCACGGGTCACCAGGTTGTGCACGGGTCACCAGGTGACCAATATGTGCACGGGTCACCAGGTTGTGCACGGGTCACCAGGTCACCATTATGTGCATGGGTCACCAGGTCACCGGTATGTGCACGGGTCACCAGGTTGTGCACAGGTCACCAGGTTGTGCAATGGTCACCAGGTCACCAGGTTGTGCACGGGTCACCAGGTTGTGCACGGGTCACCAGGTTGTGCACAGGTCACCAGGTGATCAATATGTGCACGGGTCACCAGGTTGTGCACGGGTCACCAGTTCACCAATATGTGCACGGGTCACCAGGTTCTGCACGGGTCACCAGGTCACCAGTATGTGCACGGGTCACCAGGTTGTGCACGGGTCACCAGGTCACCAGTATGTGCACGGGTCACCAGTATGTGTACGGGTCACCAGGTTGTGCACGGGTCACCAGGTTGTGCACGGGTCACCAGGTCACCAGCATGTCCCCAGGTATTTCAGGTACGGCACATTGCAGGGCCATCTGGTGGTGCCGTCGCTGTCGATGTCCGGGGCTCAGGCGGCTCCACCGGAAGCGGCGCATCCCTCCCCCTCCCTCCGTCCTTCCATTCCCCCCCCCCCCGCACTGATGGCGGCGGAGTCGCTGGAGATGCAAACTCAGCGCCGCTCGTAGGGCGAGAGAGAGAGGGGGGACCCAGGGCCTTACCAGGGCACTGCCATCGCCACCCTCACCTTCCTCACGACCCTCACCTTCCTCACGACCCTCACCTTCCTCACCACCACCATCACCACCCTTACCACCACCATCACCACCCTTACCACCACCATCACCACCCTTACCACCACCATCACCACCCTTACCACCACCATCACCACCCTTACCACCACCATCAACCACCATACGCCGCCGGCAACAGCGACGTGTCTGCCTGGGCCTTCTTCACCGGGATCCGGATCTTCCCGGCACCTTTCTGGGCCTTCGCCCCTGCGATGGTGCACACCTTCCCGGGCCTTCATCACCGTCAGTGTCGTCTCCGGGCCCTCGCGGCTGTAAGCAGCGTCACCCCGGGCCCGGGTGATGCTTCGCCGTTACTATGGCCGAAGCCAGGAGGTTCACGAAGTCTCTGAGCAAGCCGGGGACGGCGGCCGAGATGAGGCAAAGCGCCTCGGAGGCAGTCAGAAGGTCCACGTACAGCCAGGTGAGCGATGAAGGTCCCGGGTGTGGGTGTGTGTGTATGTATGCGTGTATAAGAGAGTGCCTGGCCTTTACACTGTGCGTTGCACTGTGTGTGTTACACTGTGTTACGGTCCTTCACTGTGTGTGCATGTATGTGTGAGTGACTGGCCTTCAGTGTTGCGAGTGCTGGATCACCATTCGCCTGACTGCTGCTGCTACTGGGTGTCCCACTCCACATCCCCGATCGGCGTGTGGTGGTGGTAGCGAGGGTGAACACGCATGCCCAATGTGTGAGAATACACAGCACCAAAAACAAGGACCCCCCGTGTAGCCTCAACAGACTATTGGGCAAGTTCTGCTAGCTAGCTTCACGGTACACTCGGGGTGGATAGCCAGCGCCACGCCCGACCGCCTTTGTCTCCCCAGTTGGCGATGTTTACACATCGCAGCAGGTACTCAGAGGATGAGTCGACCTAGGGGAGGCCCAGTGGACAGTTCAGATGATCGTCACTGGGTTCGTAGCGCAGCTCGCTAACCGAAGCGCCACAGCTCCCCACGGCACATACATCATATCCACATCACATACCACGCACACACACATCATATCCACATCACATACCACGCACACACACATCATATCCACATCACATACCACGCACACACACATCATATCCACATCACATACCACGCACACACACATCATATCCACATCACATACCACGCACACACACATCATATCCACATCACATACCACGCACATACACATCATATCCACATCACATACCACGCACACATCATATCCACATCACATACCACGCACACACACATCATATCCACATCACATACCACACACACATCATATCCACACCAGTATTTGGTGTGCGTGTGTACAAAATACAGGTTGGAAAACATCGCCTTCACGGTGACCTACATGCCACAAATACCTGCGCACGTGAGCCTGCGCACGTGAGCCTGCGAACCTGCACACATACGCCAAGACACACACACAGATACACACGCCCTCACAGAAATGCTCAGCAAACCTGCAGACCTGTTGTTGCACTACAAAGACGAAAATCCACCGTATAACCTAACCATACCGTTTAACACGTAGGCTTTCGCGACCAATGTTATTCATAATCAACGTTTTTGGGTTTAGATCGCGATGATGCTGGTTGCAATTACCAGCGAAACGTCGTACTCAAATTGTAAATGTTGTGGCTTCAACACACCGGTGGGCTAAAGCAGTGAACTATTTGTCTTTGTCAACGTGACACATTTTTACTGATTGGCCGTGTCGGGTGGTGGAGGGTTACGACACATTTATAAATAAACGCGATCTAAACCCAAAAACGTTGATTATGAACTAACCATACTGTTTGGGCAAGTGCTGTCCGTGAGCACCTATGAAGGCTGGCACGGCACACGAGGTGGGGGGGGGGTGATAGTCAGCACCACTCCTGACCACCTTTGTCTTCCTAGTTGCAATGATGCGTACACATCGCACCAGGTACTCAATTCAGACCCAGGACAGGTTCAGATGATCGTCACTGGTGTTGGCCGTGAGCCGGAATCTAACTCAGGTTGCCGGGTTCGTAGCGTAGTGCGTTAACCACTGCACCACTACTTCCCACGTACGTATGCTGAACTTTTTTCGCACCCTACGTAGCCAACTGTGCTAATCGGCGGTGTGGGAGAAGGACTAAACTAAACACAAAATTCAGTTCTAAAGAAATTAATTTGTCTGAACGCACGCGATGCGGTGACCACCGTCTTTGTTCGATGGCTGAGCCAAAATCCGCTGCTACGAGGATGAGCGGAGTTCGCGTGGTGATGGTTTATGCTCCTTGAGATCAGCGAGATACAGTATTGTGGTTCATTTGTGGCAGGCACTTTGTGTGTAATGCGTGCGACCTTATCACGTATTCGTTCAGCAAGCGGAAGCCACAGCTGCACATTGAGCACTGGACGGACACGGTCGGTTCTTGTAGTACCCGTCACGACATGCGCACGCCTTGATACACGCACACGCCTAGATACACATATACACACCTGGATACCTAAACACAATTATTTACCTACAAACACACACACACCCTGACACGACATGCCAGCCTCTTACATTCAGAGCCCTTGTCCCTAGCTGCTGTCCCATCTTTAACCCTGACAGTGTCAAAAACCACATCACCTACCAATCACTAACCACATCACCTACCCCAATCACTAACCACATCACCTACCCCAATCACTGACCACATCACCTACCAATCACTAACCACATCACCTACTAATCACTAACCACATCACCTACCCCAATCACTAACCACATCACCTACCAATCACTAACCACATCACCTACTAATCACTAACCACATCACCTACCCCAATCACTAACCACATCACCCACCAATCACTAACCACATAACCTACCCCTATCACTAACCACATCACCTTCCAGTCACTAACCACATCACCTACCCCAATCACTAACCACATCACCTACCCCAATCACTAACCACATCACCCACCAATCACTAACCACACATCACCTACTAATCACTAACCACATCACCCACCAATCACTAACCACATCACCTACCAATCACTAACCACATCACCTACCAATAACTAACCACATCACCTACCAATCACTAACCACATCACCTACCAATCACTAACCACATCACCTACCCCAATCACTAACCACATCACCTACCCCAATCACTAACCACATTACCTACCAATCACTAACCACATCACCTACCCCTATCACTTACATTCAGAGCCCTTATCCCTAGCTGCTGTCCCATCTTTAACCCTGACAGTGTCAAAAACCACATCACCTATCAATCACTAACCACATCACCTACCAATCAATAACCACATCACCTACCCCAATCACTAACCACATCACCTACCCCAATCACTAACCACATCACCTACCCCAATCACTAACCACATCACCTACCCCAATCACTAACCACATCACCTACCCCAATCACTAACCACATCACCTACCCCAATCACTAACCACATCACCCACCAATCACTAACCACATCACCTACCCCAATCACTAACCACATCACCTACCCCAATCACTAACCACATCACCCACCAATCACTAACCACATCACCTACCCCAATCACTAACCACATCACCTACCCAAATCACTAACCACATCACCTACCAATCACTAGCCACATCACCTACCCCAATCACTAACCACATCACCTACCCCAATCACTAACCACATCACCTACCAATCACTAACCACATCACCTACCCCAATCACTAACCACATCACCCACCAATCACTAACCACATCACCTACCCCAATCACTAACCACATCACCTACCCCAATCACTAACCACATCACCTACTAATCACTAACCACATCACCTACCCCAATCACTAACCACATCACCTACCCAAATCACTAACCACATCACCTACCCCAATCAATAACTACATCACCTACCCCAATCACTAACCACATCACCTACCTATCACTAACCACATCACCCACCCCAATCAATAACTACATCACCTACCCCAATCAATAACTACATCACCTACCAATCACTAACCACATCACACACCAATCACTAACCACATCACCTACCCCAATCACTAACCACATCACCCACCAATCACTAACCACATCACCTACCCCAATCACTAACCACATCACCTACCCCAATCACTAACCACATCACCTACCAATCAATAACCACATCACCTACCCCAATCACTAACCACATCACCTTCCAGTCACTAACCACATCACCTACCAATCACTAACCACATCACCTACCAATCACTAACCACATCACCTACCAATCACTAACCACATCACCTACCAATCACTAACCACATCACCTACCAATCACTAACCACATCACCTACCAATCACTAACCACATCACCTACCAATCACTAACCACATCACCTACCAATCACTTACCACATCACCCACCAATCACTAACGACATCACCTACCCCAGGGGTCGGGAACCTTTTTGACTGGGAGAGCCATAAAAGCCAAATATTTCTAAATATATTTCATTGAGAGCCATATAGTATTTTTAACGTATAATAAATTAAATGTCTTACTTTTAATGCGACTTCTGGTGCTGCATGGTTTTGCTGATGGCCTTGTAGTCTGGTTCATACGTGGTGAGGTTGAGCTTCGTGCAGGCGTGACCCGTGAAATTTATCTTCAAAACTAATTTCTGTTTACTTTAAAATGACACAGTATTATTAAGCAATATCACAAGTATTTTAAAATCAGTTCCAAACTGATTTTTTTATTTTTTTTTCAACTCAAAATTGCCTGGGAGCCATATGCCGTCACTGGAAGAGCCATATATGGCTCGCGAGCCATAGGTTCCCGACCGCTGACCTACCCTAACGACCGATCAAACAGCAGCTGTAGCAGAAATCTTGTGTGTGTCAGTGTGTGAGCGTGCCTGTGAGTGTGTGTGTGAGCATGCGTGTGAGTAAGTGTGTGTGCTTGTGTGTGAGCGTGTGTTTCAGTGTGTGAGCGTGCGTGTCAGTGTGTGAGCGTGTGTCAGTGTGTGAGTGCACGTGTCAGTGTCTGAGTGTGTGTCAGTATGTGAGCATGTGTCTCACTGTGCGAGTGCACGAGTGCGTGTGAGTGCGTGTCAGTGCGTGAGCGTGCGTGCGTGTGAGTGCGTGAGCATGTGTTTCAGTGTGCGAGTGCACGTGTGAGTGCGTGAGCGTGTGTGTGAGCGTGCGGGTAAGTGTGTGAGCATGCGTATCAATATCTGAACCGGTCCTGGGACTCTTCTAGATCGCCTGAGCCTTAAATGAGTATGTATGTATGTTGGACTTCTTTTGCACCGTATGTAGCCAACCGTGCCAATCAGAGGTACTGGGCGAAGGACAATGGTGCTGTGTGTAAACATCAGCACTGGGGAGACAAAGGCAGCCAGGTGTGGTGCTGGCCCCCCTCCCCTTCATGTTCTGTGCTGGCCCTAATCGATGCTCGCAAACGGCTCTTTCCCCAACAGTTTGTTGGGTGGAGGATCTTTGTTTATTTAAGTGTGTGAATGAGGAAGACGAAACGGTGTTGGCTGGGTCATGTAGCCCGCATGCCCAGCCACCGCATGCCCAACAGCTTTTGTTTGGCCCGATAAGAGGGGACTCAATGGGCGTGGCACGGAAAAAGAAGAGATGGAGTGATGTGGTACAGGAGGATGTGGAGCTGAGTGGACTTACCGATGACCGGTACCAGTGGTGTCAACATCGGCTTCTGTGGAGGAGGCTCGTGAAGGACGCTGCTGGGCAGTTGGAGGCAGTCACCTTCCAACAACAGCGGAGGGCGGAGGAGCGACACTCACAATAACGAGCGGAGCGCCGGTTTCAACAAAGTCAGAGCGCCAGGCTGCTAAAATGAAGTGAGTTGGTACAGTAGAGAGCACAGGTGGTGCATTTGACAACAATCTCAGGCAGTCAACCCATTGTACCTGGGTCTGTGACATTGCCTCCTGTCAGTGAGCCTTTTACACTTCATGTAGCCTCAAAGTGCACCTAGCCTGGCACAGGTGCCGTGGTGATGTCACTGGTGAACAAGGGTTATTGTTATTGTGAGTGCCAGTGTGTGTTAGCATAGGGATGGCCTTCTATTGGTTAACCGTGTTCTGTATGCTGATGATTTGGTCATTGCTGATCACTTTGAGAAGGGATTTGAGGCTCTGCTGCTGAACCTGGAGTGTGCCATGAAAAGGTGGGACCTTACCATCAGCCCCACCAAAGCAAAGAACCTGGTCCGGGTATTTAATGTCCTCTTACCTTATCTAGAGTCATATAAAGAGCCTCATCTCAAGGCACCTGAAATAAATTTTAAAATTGTACATCAGGTGATAGTGTTTGAGATAAAGAGTGGGGCTATTAAGAGTGATTGTGTAATTATGGTGACAGGACAACAGGCGAGAGTGGTTAAGGAGGGGTTGGGGGAGTGATAGGGGTAGCAGTGGTGATAGGGGTTGGGGTAGTGATAGGGGTTGGGGTAGTGATAGGGGTTTGGGTAGTAATAGGGGTTGGGGTAGTGATAGGGGT